AGTCATTTTTGGTGGACATTAGATCATTATGATTGTACTGCTTGACAAGTTAGCTATTAATTCATTAAGGTTATTGAAAGGGGTAAACTAAACTCAAAGGCTTCACTTCTAATAATTTGGAAATAAAGGAACCAGACCCTCACTCAGCCCCCTGATAGTAGCCACAACAGGTAGGCCACAAAAGAAAACTCCAGGGGGGACCAAAACCTCCCCTCTAGTCTCCAGGATATAGTTCTGAGAACTATTGGTATCTATGTACAACAGGCCACCTGCAAGTAACAAGACAATGCCATAGAAACCACAGAATATTCCCTCTCAGCACTGACCAATGAAAATAATTGCTACACAGGTATTTCATGCCAAAATATGACTTTGAGAAATTCTTCTGATTGTTCCCAAATGTCAACCAATCAGAAACCAACCTATACCTACTGATGTAATCCTGTAACTTTTGTCTTTAAAACCTAGCAGTAGACAGGGAACTTCACTTCCTCTGGAGGCTGCTGGTCAGCTTACTAGACAGGGTCCCTGTCATGGTTGAATGAACAATTAAAACCTTGCTTTTGCAGTTTAGTGGGTTTGTCTTCCTGGTAGTCTCTGGGGACTTTGCAACTTGGGCACAACAGATATAACCTCTTCTTTGCTCTCCCAATCTATGTGTATTTTTATGCCTGCTCCCAACAAGTTTTTATAATGTGCCTAACTGTATCTTTGCATATATATACATAAATACATATATATGCTCATGCATACACACATCTTTTTATCTTCTGGGATCTGTTGTACCATGTATGTGCAAGAGACAGACAGACAGACAGACACAGACACACCCATGCTCGCACGTGTACACACACACACACACACACACACACACACACACGGACGGACGGACGGACGGATGGACGGACGGACGGACGGACGGACAGACACAGACACCAGGCCTTACTAGGCAGTACAGGCTGGCCTTGAACTCAGGATCGCCCTGCATCGTGCTGAAATTACATGGGTACCACTGTACCTGCTTGTTGGAGTTTCTGAACCAATGCTCTCACATCCTCTCCATCACAGAACATTCTTCTCTTCTGTCTTTTCAGATACTGCTTTGGCCCTTATGTTTGTTTGCTGCCTTGTGCATTTTAAAACACGGTATTTTAACATTTTAAAATACACAAGGGGAGGGCAGTATGGAGTTACAAAACAAGCCAGGCGGTGGTGGCATGCCTTTAATCCTAGCACTCGGGAGGCAGAGGCAGGCAGATCACCCTGGTACAGAGTGAGTTCCAGGACAGCCACAACTACATAGAGAAACCCTCTCTTGAAAACAAAACAAAAAATACACACAGAAATATATGTGTGGTGGTTCCCTGTGTTTTAGCTCCTGCATCTGTGTTTTAGTCTGATTACTTTCTTCTGGCCTTTCCTCCTTTGCATTTAAACCACTTTGTATTTAAACCCCTGCTACCCACTGTTGTGGATGGCAACATCCCCGCCACTCCTATGCTGACACCCTACCCTGCTGGGTCTCAGAATGTGACTGATTTTTTTAGATAATGACACAAACACAGAGGTAAAAATGTGTGAAAAATCTATTTACAGGACAGAAAGACACCAGAAGAAATCAACCCCACTGTCACCTTCACCTCAAACTTCTCAGGAACTAGGAGGAAATTCATGTCATTCTTCATGTTCTCCACCCACAGGACTTTGTTATAGCCTCTTTAACACACTAACACACCTACCTATGGGGGAGCAATCTCAATTATTGCAGATCCCCTTTTAGAAATTGTAGATTTCATAGTTTTCAGTTCATTGTCCAAATTCTTAGTAATTAAAAAAAATCTCTTTGAAGATAATAAGTTGTTTTTATTTATTCATTAATTTTCTTTTTTAACATTGATTTATTGGGGGGCAGAAGCATGTTAGTGTGCGAGTGTGTGTGTGTGTGTGTGTGTGTGTGTGTGTGTGTGTGTGTGTGTGTGTGTGTGTGTGTGAGCAGTAGGAGCAGGGTCTCTTCTACCATGTAGGTCCAGATCAAACTCAGATGGTCAGGCTTGTGGGCAAGCGCCTTTACCCACTCAGCCATGTGCTGGCCCTCATCTGTTTATTGAGATGAGGGCCCCACAAGCTGCAATCCTCCTCCAGTCTCAGCCTCTGGAAAGGCTCGGGTAACAGAAATGAGTCACCACATGCACAGCAGGGTATCTGATTAATTAAGGGAGTCTTCTATGAGTTACTCAGTTTCTTCTCATTTTCTTTCCTCATACCCCAGGTACTTGTTGGCTGCTTCCTGCTAAGGACCTTGGTATCCCTTCTTCTAAGCAGCAGTCACAGCCCACCCCATCCACACACAGGGTCACAATGAGTCAGAGTTCACTTTATTCCTCTTTTTTTTTTTTTTTTTTTTTTTTTTTTTTGCTTTAAGCTTGGTAATACTTAGGATCCCATGTTGGAGGGTCTTGGCTTTGTTTTGGCCTTTGAAGACTTTCCCTAATGCTGAGTAACTTTCTCTTAGCTGCATGCCCTTAGGGGAGAGGCATCCAAAAGCAACCCTCATTTCTCTGTATTTCTGTTGTTTTGTTTTCATCTTCACTTCTGTATTTTTCTTCCTTCATGAGCTCTTTAATTAAAGTGAATCTGACTGGACATAATGACTCACACCTATAATTCTAGTCCAGATTAATAGTAATTCCAGGGTAACTTGACCTACAATATAAAACCTCAGCTCAAACAAAAACAAATAAGAAGAATGGGCATATATGTGCTCTTTTTTCAAAACCAAAAGCCAAACACGATGTTCTCAATAAACAAACAGATAATGCGGACTCTGAAGCTATTTCCCTTTACAGATTTTGAGGTTTTCCCTGGGTACCTAGGTAAAGGCAATGACAAACTAGAGAACATCACTATCTTGGATCAGTAGGGAAAATGTGAGAAATTAGGTAACTCAAATGTGATTTATAATTTACTCTAAGAGACTATGATTAACTTACTCTAGTGCTTTCCTTTGCCCACCTGCAATCTTGACCCTATGGTGACTGACAATCTGCCATCACCACCGCATGAGGAAAAGGGCATCACAACATCTGAAGAAATCCCTCAAGTTGCATTTGTTGGTACACACTTGTAATCCCAGGACATAGACAGCTAAAACAGGGAAATCACAGACAGAGGGTACAGCCTGGGCCACACAGTGAACTCAAAGTTAGTGTGAGCCTCGTAGCAACTCTGCCCATTCATTAGCTATTAAGCTATCTGAGTAGAGGCATAACAGGCGCATACAAGTCAGACTACAAACATTATAGAGTGCAATCAATCAAAAGGGCAATTAATCAGCTTACCACACCCATGTAAGCATTCCAGTGAACTTCTGGATACAAAGCTCTCAGATCCTGGTTGGCGTTCTCCACATGCCTTATCATCTTATCATGTATCTTGGTGCCAGGAAACTAAGTGTTCTGACTACTGACTTTCCCTGACTTAGACAGTGCATACCTTCTCCTAAGTGACTTTAGTCTCTATCCTTTTCCTAAAACAAACCTCAAACATGGATATAACAGCTTTTAGTGAGTTCTGTGTCCCTTCAGTCAATGAGATTTGGGGAGCCACCCAAACTTTCAACTAGCGGGTCTTCTGAATTGGGGTAATCTTTGGTAAACTTCATTGTTCGGCCCTAGATTCTTGTATCAACAATGACATTTCTGAAATTAACATTTGCTGGAAAAGCGTACAAGATATGAAAAGTAGGACAGACACACATAAAAATTAGCAACTTCCATCTAGAAAACAAGAAAAGGTATGCAAAAACAGGTGAGAGTAAACCATCAAAGGAGTGAATAGAAAAAGCCACTTCCAAGCCGAATATGGTGGCACTTGTGAGGCAGAGACAGGTGGGAGTTTCTATGAGTTCAAGGCCAGCCTGGTCTACATATGGAGTTCCAGTATGCCAAGGCTGCCTAGAGAGACCTTGTCTCAAAAAGAAGAAAGCAAACCAAACCAATAAAACAAAAATCCAGTGAGAGGCCTGAGAATACAGCTAAAAAGTAAAGCATCAACTGAGCATGTGCAAGGTCCTGAGTCTGACCCCAAACACCACCAAAGTAGAGAAGGGTGGGTAATGACAGAAACAAACTCAAGTTAACAAGACGTTATAACCAGTAAATGGTACATAATGAAGGACTGGGAGAAGAACAGGAGCCAATCATTTTAGCTAAGGGAGGGAACAGCAAGGAGAAAATAGGCAAGTGTCACAGAGGTCATCTCTGAGTTAGGCCCAGAAGACAGGCAGAGCTTGCAAGGAAGCAATGGTAAGAAAAGAAGTAACAGAGCTTGGTAACAAGTTACCACATCATTTGGAACTTCTTAGACACAGAAATCCATATTGTCTAACACATGAGGGCACTGCAAGAATGGTAATTCCGTAAAGAAACAAGGTGGGGTTTTGGAGAGTGACTTCAGCCACACAGAATCAAGTTCCCTGTGGTCTACAACCTATGCAAAGCCCCACTGCCTCCTTTGATGTCCTGGCCAGCACAAAATGCAGAGCCTTGCTTGCTCACTCTTTTAGCCTCTTATCAGCTTAATGACAGCAATCGTCTATGGGTAGCAATCTTTCAAACTATGAGACGTGATTTACAGTGAAGCTTTTGTCCTAAACCAAAATGGAGAGTCAGCGGGTAATGACAGTCATAAAGAGCTGAGTAAATTAATGAGTTTTCAATGCTGAAGTTTACCTCCAGCTCAGCCAGCAAGGGCATGGGAAGCATGTCTGCAGGCACGATGGCCAGCCAGGCAGATCTCTAACTTACCACCCTGCGGTGCAGCGTCAGCTCTGTAACTGCTCTACAGAAGCAGATGCCTGGGACAGGACACTAAGCTCTCCACCGGGCTACGAGTCTTTCAGAGATTCACCTTTGATTTCCTCCCACCATGCCAGATTTCTGCTCAAAACTTAAACAGGTAGTCCTAAAATGCAGAAATTTTGGGGTTTCTGATCTCCTCACCTCATAGTATTTCTTCAAGGAGCCCACCAAGCAGAGCTTCAGGCTGTCCACAATTTCCTGATGTGGCATCTGGAACACCACCCTCGAATACCATTTGGTAAGTGTGCTAGGCAGGTGCAGGGGAGAAAGGAGAGACACACAGAGAACAGTGAGCAGCCACTCTCTGTGGTCCGCTGTCCACACACAACGTTCCTTTTGAATCAGCTCAACACACATCTACCTGCCAAGTGCATTTGTATATGTACCTGCCATCTACCTGCCATTTGTGGGGTCAGTATAAGCCTAACAACCTGAGTTCAATGCCCACAGCCATGTGGAGGGACAACTGACTCCACCACAGAGGTGGCCTCTGACCTCCAAACATGCACCACACCCTAATACCCACCTCCCACCTTCCTCAATGGTAATTTCATTTCTTTTTTTTTTTTTTTTTTTGGTTTTACGAGTCAGGGTCTCTCTATATTGTTTTGGAGGCTGTCGGTCCAGCCCGGCCTCGAACTCACAGAGATCCGCCTGCCTCTGCCTCCCGAGTGCTGGGATTAAAGGCGTGCACCACCAACGCCCAGCGGTAATTTCATTTCTAAAAAGGCTAGTAACACAAAATGCTGGCAGCCTCTTGCAAGAGCTGCAGAATACAGGGAACAGATCTGTCCTGATGAGTGTGGCATTTCACATTGCAAATATAGCTATTAAAGGACAGAGGAAGGAACTTAGTGCTTCTTATAGTGTGATACAGAGTGCCCAAAAATCATCTAATGGATTTATAATAAGGTCAGGCATCATACAGCTATGATTTTTGCTTACAGATTTATGCTGGCAACAAAGCCAACCACAGAGCGCATGCCTCTGCTGGGGTCATGGTATACATCCATTCCAATCACCATTAACTGTTTCTAGGTTGAAAAACAAAAACAGAAGTTCAAACCCAAGCAATCCATTCCTCTGTCTGTATTATCTTAACTTCAAAGCAATATTCCTTATGATTTACACATGAAAACAAGTTCTATAAAAGAAACAGAAAGACTGCAATCGACTTGACTTTCTAAACACAATAAACCAAGTCAGATCTATATCAGGTCAGCAAGTGCTTTCTATGAAAGGACAAATGAGTAAATCTTCGGGTTTTGTGAGCTGAGAGTCTCCTTAGGAACCTTGTAATTCTGCCTTTTGAGGACTACAGTGGTAAACAGAGGCAACCAATGCTCTGTGTTCCAGTCAAAGTGTACGTAAAATACTGAGAACTGAAAGAAGGTAATCTTCATGTATCAGAAAATGTTGACCTGAACTTTCTCACCACTTGAAAACATAAAGTACATGCTTAGCTCACGGCCTGTCTAGTAACATGCAGCAGCTGGCTGGACCTGAGTCTACAATGAGAATAGAAAGGATGACAAGAGGGGAGGATGGGAAAGAGCCAGGCACAGAACACACAGTTCAACATCACTCACCAATGGGATATCCACTCCCCAAAGCTCACCACCCAGTTTACAGTTCATCTGAAGCAAAATTTTCTGAGCCACACTCCGAAGCCTGGTGGGTTGACCAATGGTTCGGACATTGATGACCTATAGGATCAGAACATCATTGATCTCTTAGGAAATGTTAACAGTTCTAAAGCACCAACATCTCTTGGCTCCAGTCCCTTCCAACAAGGAAAGTGAAATGAGAGGATTCTCAACTCCCTCCCATGCAACGATGCAGTATTTGTGTATAGCTGTCCCATACCCTCCTGGTACAGTATTTGTGTATAGTTGCCCCAAATCCTTATGTACACCCAGATTGCTATTACTTTTAGGACTGAATGCAATCACTATGTAAATAGTTGTTATCCTGTATGGTTTAAGAATAAGCACAAGGGTTTCCTTTATGAGTCTGATGAGCTCAGAAGAGGTGTAATTTTCTTTCAGAATGTTTTAAACTATGTTTGGTGAATCAGCTGATGCAGAATCCACAGTCAGGCCAGGCATGGTGGCATGCTTGTAATTCCAGCACTTTGTGTGTGTGTGTGTGGGGGGGGTTAGAAGCAGGAGGGATAGGAATTCAAAATCATCTTTGTGTATGCAGGGAGTATGAGTTTAGCCTGGGTTACACAAGATTTGTCTCAAAAGACCACAAATACTGAGGGCTGAGTGTACTACATTTAGGAAACTTGAATTAGTATATATCTGTTAATAACTCTAACTCTAGGGTCACTAGGCATATATACTCATAGTACACACATGAGCATTCAAAACCATACAAAAAACTTTTATCTTATTCAGAGTGTCATTTTTATAGCTACCTAGGAAAAAATATCTTCCCTTCTCAGAGTGAAGCCCACCCATCCAGCTTGGTCATGGGGAAGCACTTAGGGATTGTGAGGAGCAGGAAGAGCCCTCAAAAGACAGGGCCACCTGCTGCTGCTGGCTCATTCCAGTCAGAAGCTCGAAGCATACTGGCCCCTAGTGGCTACATCAGCTTCTAGCCCATCAGAGGCACTGAGCTGGAGCCCTGCCTCCACTCACCTGTGAGGGCACTGGGGACTGCACACAGCACAGCTTCTTGATGGCTCCATAGAGATCATCACGTGTGCCCATGATGATGCAAACGACCATTTGTATCTTCCCCTAGAGGAGAGGTGCATACTCTGTCAGGCCCTGATCACTCTGGGGACTTTCATGGGACACAGATACGATAGACGTGCAACTGAAAAACAGATGGTGGGCATTCTAACCAGAAACATCCTTTTAATCTGAACTAGCATGGGCTTGGAGCTGCTGTCCATGGACAGGTAGTACATTACTAACACCTATAGCTGGCTATGACTACTGATGGTTACTGCCTAGGAGGCTTCAGATTCTAGAAAAGGGCTAGGCTTGGAAGTATGCTAAGGTTCTATGACTCCTCCTCTGACTGCCCTCAATGACTTCCCTGTGCTCTTCCGCCAACTAAGCAATGTGTCAGACCACAGAGCTTCAGCTGAGGAAGCAAGGCACACAGCACTACAAGGCAGTGTGTAGAGCCAAGCACAAGAGGGACGAAGCCAAGTTCACAGTAGCTAGTCCTCACTTTCTGTCTAGGGAGAACAGACACTACCAGCAACAGACCTGGCAGGAGCCTCTGTTTCCCAGCACTCTTAGCCAATGTCAAAACAGAGGACCTTCCAAAAGTGGGATGTCAAACAGAATACCACAATGCTAAGAGGCTCCAATTCTAGGACTGACCTTTCCAGAACAATTAAACTCAGCAGACTCCTGGGCTTATGGGATAATTATCGCCAACAACTTCTCTTCTACCTCCATCCTCTCCTCTACTACTTACAAAGTGCTGGGGAGATGGCTCAGAGGGTAAGAGCACTTGTTGCTCTTGTAGAAGACCTGGGTTCAAGTCCCAGCACCTACATGGCAGCTCACAACAGTCTGTAACTCCAGTTCTAGGGAATCTGGGACCCCTCAGGTGCCAGGCACACACACTATGGACAGACATACATACAAGCAACACACATAAAAAAGGAAAAATATTTTATTTACAAAGAGATAAGAAGGAAAAGTCTGGAAGCTGGAATGGGAGTGCCCATATCCAGTGTTCTGATCAGTTATCTGGATTCGTTTATGTGTCTAAGGTCAAGTTCATCACTAGGGCAATTTGCATTCTGGGCCAGACTATTCTGTTACAACTCAGAACTGAATCCAGAAGACAGCACTTGGCCCAAGTAGTTGGTTCCTGAGCACAGCATGTTCTACAGATAATGAACTAAGTGACTATTATTTCAGACAACTTCATAAGGGAATGGCTAGACAGGGAGCACACGGGAGCACGTGACAGCCAACAGAATGAGAAAAGATAATAACCAAAGGGCAAGAAGAACAGTTTCATGTGAAAAGGAGAAGAATGTATGCTCCTGGGCATCAAACAGACTGACACAATCTACATAAGATTAAGCATTCAAGTACTTCCAGAGATCTTGTAAGTTTACTTCAATTAAGTTACTTTATTACCTCAACTCCCAGAAGGGACTGAATAGTCCTGATATAGGTCTCTATTCGGTCATCCTTCAGTTCAACCCAGGCTGGGGGGCTTATGCGCATACCAATGGGGCCAGCTATCTTCTCCAACATGTTAACCAGTTCTCGGGCTTGGTCCATTGCTCTCTTTGGGTAAAAAAGTGCCCAGAAATGCATGGGAATCTAGAAACAAGCACATGATGGAGATTTTACTATAGAGGATAAATGACTGTGCATTCCCTCTGCTTGAGTTCCTCTACCTGATAGGATTCCTATCATTCTCATAGACTTATACACTTTGGCAGTCTTATAATGTAATACTATACAATAATAAAAATGAAGGCCTACTAACATACCCAACAATATGCATGAAACTCTGCACACAAGGTTGAATAAGTCATACATAAAAGACTGTTCACTCTCTGATTTTCTATCTATCTATCTATCTATCTATCTATCTATCTATCCATCCATCTATCTATCTATCTGGCAAAAAGAACACATGCTTTTGCCAATTCAGGATGCTTGCTATTCCCAGGGAATGGGACTAGCAATAACCAGGAAATATGGTTAGGGGGTTGAGTGTACCTATAATTTCTGTTTTTTAGTCCTTTGTGTTGGTTACATAGGTCTATTTAATTTGTAAAACTCAAGTTATACACTTCTAAGTGTGCTTTTTCTTTAACTATGCTGTATTTCTTTCTTTCTTCTTTTTTCCTAGACAAGGGTTTCTCTGAGTAACAGCCCTGACTGTCTTAGAACTCACTCTGTAGATCAGGCTGGCCTCAAACTCAAGAGATCCTCCTGCCTCTGCCTGACAAGTGCTGGGTAAGGGTGTGTACCACCACCACCCAGCAACTGTGCTGTATTTTAATAAAAACTTTAAAAGTTGACATTTTCTAAATATAACCCCTAAGACCAACTTTGTCTGTCTACTACAAAGTATTTTATACTTTGAGGTAAATAACTAACAACTAGCTGTCTCTTGGGGGAACCCTGTTTTAATTTGACATCTTTCATGGATAAAAATAATCCTGGGAATTCCCAGGGGCAAAAGAGCAAGGGAGAAAGAAGAAAAAAAGAAGAGCAGGTGATGGGCGACAGCAGACAAATCACCATGGTAACTATTTCCTTCTCCTCATCCTGTAGTCAGACAGGGCTGCCCTCCAGCACTGCTCATCTGGGAGGCCTTGCTCAGGACTCACTCAGAGTGGAATTCAGATGGTACTTCCTCTTGAAGAGAGTACCGAATCACCCGCTTCCACACTCGGAGCATACGGATTCTCCAGGACTTCAGAAATCACTCACGGTCAGGATGGAAGCATCTCTGGTCACTTCCTTAACCCAGTTCAGGTCCTCAGACGTGACAAATGAGGTATTCCTTAAGTTAATCCTCTCCATTGGCAGAAGACGACCTTCGATCTACACAGAGAATAAAGGGTCTCTGACATGGAGCCAACGACAGACTCTTCAAGAAAACACTGGTCCTGCTCCACAGACACCTGACCAACTAGAGCCGCACCGTTTTTCTTTCTCTCTTTTATGAATAGTCTTGCTGGCCTCCAACCTGCAACTTAGTAGGGCCGAGAGTCAATGCTAGAAGGGCTATCACCAGAGCCTGAGTGCTGGTTTCCATACTGTGCCTCAAGACAGCCCAAAACTTAGTCTGTTAGGATTGGTGGCAAGCGTCTTTACATACTGGCATCACTGGCATCATTTTCTATTTTGGATGCATGTTGTAATATGTGTCCAAGTGTGTTTTGTGTGTGTGTACATGCATGTGCTGCATGTGCATATGTTTGTGTGTATGTGTGTGTATAGGCCAGATGTTTTCCTCTATTGCTCTCTGCCCTGTTTTTGAGACAGCTGTCTCCCAGAACTCAGACTGTCTAGACTGGCTGGTCAGTGAGCACTGGGAATCTGCCTGTCTGTACACCGTCTCCTCCTGGTATGAAGTAGTTCAGATGCATACCACCATCTGAACTACTTCATACCAGGAGGTTTTTTTTTGTTTTGTTTTTTACGAGACAGGGATTCTCTGTATTGTTTTCGAGGCTGTCGGTCCAGCCCAGTCTTGAACTCACAGAGATCCGCCTGCCTCTGCCTCCCGAGTGCTGGGATTAAAGGCGTGCGCCACCACCGCCCGGCCCAGGCACACCTTTTTATGTGGTGCTAGGGACTGATAAATCAGGTCCTCATGCTTCATGGTATGGCAACCTAAGTCTTACCCCCAAGCCCCATGTAAAGAACCTACTCCGGTAAACTGTCTTTTGACCTCCACATGCATGCCACAGTATAGTCCTGTGTATACACACACACACACACACACACACACACACACACACACACACACACACACACACAAGAAATAAAATGTAAGAAAAACATGTTTTTCAAGACACCGTTTCTTTTCTTTCTTTTTGGTTTTTCGAGACAGGGTTTCTCTGTATTGTTTTGGAGACTATCCTGGAACTCACTCTGTAGACCAGGCTGGCCTCGAACTCACAGAGATCTGCCTGTCTTTGCCTCCCAAGTGCTGGGATCCCACCACTATCCAGTCAATTTAAAAAACAAAACAAACAAACAACAACAAAAAACAGAAAAAAGGCTGGGTGATGGCGGCGCACGCCTTTAATCCCAGCACTCGGGAAGCAGAGGCAGACGGATCTCTGTGAGTTTGAGACCAGCCTAGTCTACAAGAGCGAGTTCCAGGACAGCCTCCAAAGCTATACAGAAGAACAAAACAAACGATGACAACAGTAACAACAACAACAAGAATCTGGCCACTGGAGCTTAGTGGTACACACTTTTATTCCCAGCACTCCCATAGGCAGGTGGATCTCAGTGAGTTAGGGTCTATACAGCAAGTTCAAGGTCAACCAGGACTACATACTGAGATCCTGTCTCAAAAACCAATCTGTGTTAGATAAGGACAGTTGTAAATTAATGCTTCCTATTTGATCAGAAATGAATAGCTATCATCTTTGGGAAGAAAAGTCTGCAAATGTTGCTGGCAGATTAAGTCAAGGGGATTCAGATACTATGACTGACATGAAAAAACAGTGTAAGAATAAGATCAAAGGGCTGGAGGGATGGCTCAGTGGCTGCTCCTCCAGCTTAGTTCCCAGCACCCACATGGTGACTTGGTGAGAGCTTACAACCATCTTTTTTTTTTTTCCAAGACAGGGTTTCTCTGTATTTTTTGGAGGCTGTCCTGGAACTCGCTCTGTAGACCAGGCTGGCCTCAAACTCACAGAGATCCACCTGCCTCTGCCTCCCGAGTGCTGGGATTAAAGGCGTGCGCCACCAATGCCCGGCTTCCTTACAACCATCTTTAATTCTAGCCCTCTTCTGGCCTTTTGCAGGCACCACGCAGGAATGTAATGCATACTCATAAATGTAGACAAAAACATACACATACAAATAAAACAACAACAACAACAAAAGGAAATGAAGAATAACCCCACAGTGGAGACAAGGGAGGATACCGTCTTGCTCACAACTCCTGGCCCCTGGTTCAGGCAGATGTCACACATGCACCTCTGACTCACCTTGTGGACATCTTTTTGCAGACTGAGACCCCAGCGGGTCAGCTCGTTGTTGGCTGTATCATTTTGTGAAATTCTCTGTAGCAGGCATTCCAAAGCACTGTGGTGCTGTTTAGGGCTTAGGTTAATCTGCTGAGTCAAGTCCTAGGCAGAATTAAAAAGTAAGACAGCAAGTTCCAAGCATTACTCCTTCTAGCAGGAGGCTAAATGACACCCAGTTGTATGAAATGTTTCTGTGAACGATCTCATGTTCAGTGAAAAATCAATGGAAAATGTCAAATATAGCCAAGAACTTTTATAAATACTTCTGAGAAATACGGAGACAATTTAGTAACAAAATGAACAACTTTCAGAAGCCCCTGACTGTCTCTCTTGCTGGGCCGTGGTGGTGCAGGCCTTTAATCCCAGCATCTGGAAAGCAGAGGCAGGCAGATCTCTGGGAATCCCCCAGGCCAGTTAAGGCTGCACAGTGAGACCCTGTCTCACAAGAACTATTTTTTTTTAAGTTACTGACTGCTCCATTACATCTGATTTCTTTCTCAAGGCATCTTTTTTATGAATAGGAATGAAGGAGGCTTAATTACACCTATTTAAAATCTAGGGAAGAAGTAGGGGGAGGGCTGGGGTAGAGAGGCACATGTTTATGCTAGGACCAAACACAACAGGACAGAAAACCATACTCAGGCTCGCACTGTTTCTGTATTAGGAAGTCAGCCTCACCACAAAGCTCTCCTGCTCTCAGAACTTGCTACAGTATAGCCACACTATAGGTGTTTTGAGGGCTACTTAACAGGTGTAGGTGTGTATGAGGAATCTGAGTCATGTAAGAGTTCTTTGTGCTTCTGAGACTCAGGAAGCACACAGTTGCTGCTTGGCTCTTCTAGGCTGGACAGATACCAGAGATCATTAGGGGTTGGGCATTGTTGGGAAGGGGCTTTGAGCTACCCAGAAGGAACTGAGGGTAAATGAAAGAAGTCTCTCACAGGGCCTTTCGCTTCCTTAGGCGCCCTCTAATGCCACTCAGCATCTAACAAAGTCTAGCAAGGTGGCAGAGAGCAGCTCAAGCACAGCCGTGTCAGGGGAAGGCAGCAGTGAAGGCTTGGCTTCCCGCTGCCGGGGGGTGGCGGTGGGAGGGGGGGCTGCAGGGCTGATGCTCCCAGTGTCTCAGAGCTTCCCTTCTCGTCTCCTCACTCCCTGGCTTGCGCTTCATTCTCTCCATGCCTCCACATAAACTGTGGTTTAGAGAAACACGACAGGAACTTGGTGTTCTCAAGGAGTCTCATTATAGTACATAACCAGCTAACCATTACCGGCTGACTGCAGAGGTGGACAGGGCTGGTCCCTTTCACTTCGAATCCAGTGCCTGCACAACTCTAAAGACCTCAAAAGCTCCTTTTCCGTGGCAAAGTACATGATTCTACAGAAAGGGAAACTGAGCCCAGAAGGGCTTGCCAAGGGAGTCAGAGCCAGAACCTGACCTACTTCCAGCTCAGGCTACTACCCCAAAGGTGGCCCCTGAAAGTAGGCATCTCCCCAAACAGCACAAGTCCAACCTTCATGGCCCTGAAGTCCTTCTTCATCTTCTCAGGAATCCCCGTCATGAAGGAGAGCTCAGGCAACAGCAGGATCTCCCCTTTCAGCAGCTTAAACAAGAGAAAGGAAGGCAGGGGACAGAGATGGCATCTGGGACCGACTCCAGGGGGTGCAAGTCTGCACTAACAAACCTACCGCTGAGGAACTCCACCAAACCCCAGGGAGAGGACAAGAGGACAGGAAACACTGCATGTATTATACCCTTCATGTCATCTGGCACAATACAGACAGCTGCTGTGTGAGGTTAAGGGGGGGGGGGGCGGCTTGTCACAAGAAGAGAAAAACAAAAGTTTGGCCCCATTGAGCCTCAAGGCAATGGCAAGATGACCTGTCAAGCTCAGTGCTTCCTGCTCTGACTCCTCAGCAGAGGAGGTGGGGCTAGAGAGATGGTTTAGCAGCTAAAAACACTTGCTGCTTTTGTAGAGGAACCCACATGTCTCACAAACACCTGACACTCCAGTTGCAGGAGCTCAGACACCTCTGACTTCAGTGGGCATCGGGCACAGACAGACAGACAGACAGACAGACAAAACATCTATACACATGAAATAAATTTAAATGGTTTTTAATATTAAAAGATAAACTAAGAATGGTGACAAGCCAATTCTCTGTTAAAATCAATGTCACACCTTCCCTCTTAAATCTACAGATGTGCTTCTGTTTTTTTAAAGATTCATTCTTATTCATTGTGAGTGTGTGTGTGGTGGGGTATACACATTCGAATGCAAGTGCACAGAGGTCAGAGGTGTCGGATCCCCCGGAGCTGGGGTACAGGCAGTTGTAAACTGCCTGATGTGGGTGCTGGGACTTGAACTCAGGTCCTCAGGAATAGTACACTTTGTGCTCTTAATCACTGAGCCATCTCCCCAACCCCCATAAACTCAATTATTTTTTTTCTTTTTGAGGCAGGTCTCACTACAGAGCTCTGGCAGGCCTGGAACCCATTATGTAGACCAGGCTGGCCATGAACTTAAGAAATCTGCCTGCCTCTGCCTGCCTCCCAAGTGTTGGAATTGCAAGCATGTGCTACTATGCTCATATCAGAGTTTTAATCTTTTTTTTTTTTTTTTTTTTGCTTTTCAAGACAGGGTTTCTCTGTATTGTAATGTTGGTTTTTTTTTTTTAATGTAAAAGAGCTCTGCAGCCAGACAATGGTGGCTCATGCCTTTAATCCCAGCACTGGGGAGGCAGAGACAGGTGGACCTCAGTGAGTTTGAGGCCAGCCTGTTCTACAGAGAGAGTTCCAGGATAGGCTCCAAAGCTACAGAGAAACCCTGTCTCAAAAAAAATTTCTTTGCTTGCCTGTATTATATGTACGTGGTACCCACAGAGGGCAGAAGAGGGCTTCAGATCCCCTGGAACTGGAGTCACAGACAACTGTGAGCCACCATGTGGGTGCTGGGAATGGAACCCAGGCCTTTCAAAGAGCAGCCAGTGCTCTTAACCGCTGTATCATCTCCCCAGCCCCTAGAGTTTTCATCTTTGTATACAGAATTCTCCTTATGCCTTTAACCTAAATTGTTCATTTGGATACTTAGCTCATCCTGTTATGTCCTAGAAACTCTGGCTAGAGGAAAAATAAAGCCACGCCCAGTGGGCCCCACCACACTGTACACATGCGCACATGCCTCTGAGTGCACATTACAAGTGGCCAACAGGATAGAGGACTACTGCTGGGCGTGTAAACCACTCACCGTGCCATGGTTATTCTGTCTTTCGCTGGGCCTGTGGATGAGCAGTGGCTGGTCATCCTCCTTAACTGTGATCCCATAGTTTTTGCTAAAGCAGGACAGAGTAAGAAACAGTGTTGCCACTCCTACAACAACCCCTGTAGCTCTTACCAATGCTCCTGCAGCTTACAATTTGCACATTACCCTCATTGTGAATCCATCAGAAACTGATCATAGCATTAGTAAGTGGAAAATACAGGGTACAGTTTCCTTGCTAATAGACAAAGAACAAAAGCCATAAGCCCAGGAGAGAAGCATGGGAAAGATGCTAAAGGGTTCAGGCTAAAGGGTTCAGACAATAGAAAGGTAAAATAAAAGTATACTGATTAAAGACTTGAATTTCACTTCTCTCACCAGACAAAAATCAGTGAGAGAAACACAACTCACAGCCAAAAATTCACTTATGTAGTTATTGCCAAAAGTACCAGAAGAACCAACTGTACGGGCAACACATTCAGGCCAGATCCCACAGACAACCCTTTTGGTCTCGGGTGTATTTATTGCCATTTTATGGATCTGTTCAGTGTTAGGTACCGTGTTATTAATGGCACATAAATATCTCAGGAACTGCACCTCCACCCACAGACCCAAGTGAGCCTCTCTCTTGTACCTGTAGTACTCCAGGAATGTGATCTCCTTCCCATCAGACATCACAAAGCTGTCTTTGGGGGTCTTGTTCCAGTCCACATCGTCAATGCGGTAGGTGCGGTTGTTGTAACGTGTGATGACAATGCTACCAACCAGAAGCTTGCTGCACTCGTCCTGGAAATGCTCCTTGTTCTGCTGGTAGATAGCATGCCTTTGGGAAGAGGCAAGAGGCTTTGGATGGCATTCATGCACTCAGGGTCATAAGAAAGCGATAGGGGGCTCCAATAAATGACTTTGTTTTTTATGATTGATTTTATTGTTTTAATTATGTGCACGGGGTGTGTGTATCTCTGCATGTGGGTATGTACACGTGAGTGCAAGTGCCCAAGGAGACCGGAAGCACCAGCTGCCCTGGAACTGAAGCAAGTGCTCTTACCTGCTAAGCCATCTCTCCAGTCAACCCCAACTACTTCTTTTTGAAACACGGTCTCACTCACTATAAGATAGCCTTGGCTAGCTTGGAACTTACTATGTATGTAGGCCAGGTTCAACTCCCAGCATGTAACATGGAGGCTCACAACCATTTGTACCTCTAATTCCAGGAGATCTGATTCCCTCTTCTGGGCACTGAGCATGCGTGTGGTGCACAGATATACACACAGGCAAAACATATACATAAAGTAAAATTTTAATTAAATTCTCATGACCTCCAACAAAACAAACAGCGAAAAGCTCTATAATTTGTCCATAATTTTTATTTTAAACCACAAGCCAAACTGCATGTATGGGGCCTACATAAACATGGCTAGGACATGGAGCATTGGTGTCTTACAGCTCTATACAGTTGCTCTGGCTCCCAGAGAAGCCCTTCTTTGAGATGCGCTCATGGGGTGAAAGGACTTGTAGATGCCTCTAGTGAACTTTAAACATTGTTTAAATCTGTTTGCTTTTTTTTTTAAACACCAATCTAAAGCAAAGTGGTGACGTGGCGACATCCTGGGCTAAGGGGTGCTTCATTTCCCCACTCTCAGTGAAGCACCTGTAGAAGGGCTGAGGAGAGGGGGACGGAGTTGTGATGTGCTACACTGAGCTTATCAACTACAAAAAGTTGAAAATCCTTTTGGGCACATTCACAACACAAGGATATTTGCTCAACTACGTTCATAGCAACATTATTTGTAATAGCCATAGATCTGAAAACAACCTAGATGTCCCTCAACTAAAGAATAAATAAAGAAAATGTGGTACATATACACAATGGAATACTACTCAACAGTAAGAAATAATGACATCCTAAAATGTGCAGGCCAGTGGACAGAACCAGAAAGAAAACACCCTGAGTGAAGTAACTCAGACCCAGAAAGACAAATATAGTATGTACTCACTCATAACTGGATACCAGACATAAAGCAGAAGATACCCAGCCTACAATCCACAACCCCAGAGAAGCTAGAACCCTCTTCCAGAAACAGATGGAAGCAGGTGCGGAAATTCACAACTAACCAATGGGCCAATCTCCTGGAGTACAATTGAAGTGAGGGAGGAGCGATAATATGAACGAAGGAGTCAAGACCATGATGGAGAAACCCACAGATCACTGATTCCAGTCTGACAAATAGAGAGCCTACATAATACTCAACTAGATGTCCTTAACATAGGTGTGGTGTGGCTGGGATGACATATGAGGCCACTGGCAGTGCGTTCAAGATCTAACTCTAACACACAAACTGACTTAGTGGAGCTCATTCTATATGAAGAGATAACTTATTCAGAGTAGACACAGGGGTGTGTAGGGTGGAGAGGTGCCTTGGTCCTGCCTCAATGAGGTGAGGGGACAGACTTAGTAACTTCCTAGGGGAGGCCTTACCCTCTCCAAGGAGAAGAGAGGTGGGATGGGGGAAGAAGTTGGAAAAGGGGGAGGAGAGAAGGGAAGGATTGGAGTATAAAAAACAAATTAATTAAAAATTATGTTGAAAAAATAAAATATTTTACCTAAAAAATAAATTGAAAATCCTGCTCTTTTCATACCTAAAGCAACACACACACAAAAATTTTAGAACAACTTTTACATATAAAATATAGATAATTTAAAATAAGAAATGTCATTGAGCTATCTCAGTGAATGAAGGCACTGGCTACCAAGCCTGATGACTTGTGTTGGATCCCCAGGATCCATATGGGTGGAAAGAGAAAACTGATTTCTTCAAGCTGTCTTCTGTGACTTCTATATGCATGCTGGGCATACCTGAGCACATGCACACACTTGAGCACATACACACAAACACACACGCACAGACACATAAATATATACATAAACATATAAAGTGTAATTAAAGGCAAATAAAATATAATAAAGATAAAGATTTATCTTTATCAAACTGATTTTTTTTTTATGTGCCAAAATGTTCTATGAAAAATAAGGCAACTAGGCCAGGTATGGTGGTACACGTCTTTAGCCCTATCAGGAAGGAGGCAGAGGCAGGCAGATCTCTGTGAGTTCCAGGCCAGTCAGGGCTACATAATAAGATCCTGTCTCAACGAGGAAGAGGGAGGGGGAGGGGGAGGAAGGACGGAAGGGAAGAGACGTGCTGGCTAATCTTATGTCGATTTGGCACAAGCTAGAGTTATCTGCAAGGAGATTGAGAACATGCCTCCAGAAGATGAAGTTGTAACGCATTTTCTTTTTTGGCTTTTCAACACAGGGTGCCTGGCTGTCCTAGAACCCACTCTGTAGACCAGGCTGGCCTCAAACTCATAGAGCTCCACCTGCTTCTGCCTCCTAAGTGATGTGATTAAAGGCGTGCACCACCACCCCCAGCTGCAGGGCATTTTCTCAATTAGTGGTCAATGTGGGAGGGCCCAGCCCATGGTGGGTGGTGCCATGCCTGGGCTGGTGGTTCTGGGTTCTGTAGGAAAGCAGGCTGAGCAAGCCATAAGGACCAAGCCAATAAGCAGCACCCTCCACGGCCTCTGCAGCAGCTCCTGCCTCCAGGTTCCTGCCCTGTTTGAGAGCCTGTCCTGACTTCCTTTGATGGTGAGCAGCGATATGTAAGTGTAAATTGAATTACCCCTTTCCTCCTCACATTGCTTTGGTCATGGTATTTTATCACAACAAGAGAAACCCTAACTAAGACAGGAAAGACAACTCACATGAGAGAAAATATCTCAAATTATGTATTTGACAAGATATCTGTGTCTAAAAAAAACACAAATCATAAAATTAAAAATGCATTTTAGGCACAGGAGAGATTGGCCAGTGGTTAAGAACACTGGCTGTTCTTCTAAAGGACCCAGGTTCAATTCCCACCACTCACATTCCAGATCAGAGCTCTCCATAACTCAGTTCTAGGGTGTCTAACACCCTCATACAGACATACATGCAGACAAAACACCAATGCATGAGAATTAAAATAAAAAATTAAAGTACATTTTAAAAATGGGTCAAAGATCTAAACATTTTACCAAGATACAAAAGGTGCAGGCAAAACTGCTCAGTATCACTGGCCATAAAGGAAATGCGATCGAATCCATAGCTAGACTCACTTCCCATACAGAGGTGATTAGAATAAAAACAGACGACGGCAAGAGAAGCTGCAGGTAAACTGGAGCCTTCAAACACCACTGGTAGGAACATAAGTGTTGTAGAATATTAGTTTAAGATGTTACATTTGTTTATGCTGTGGAAAATCTGTTTCATGATACAAAGATGTATTGTCTTCTTTTATGCTGCATTTGTTTAACTCTATGAAGCTGTGTTACTTTGCCTACCTAAAACACCTGATTGGTCTAATAAAGAGCTGAACAGCCAATAGCTAGGCAGGAGAGAGAAACAGGTAGGGCTGGCAGGCAGAAAGAATAAACAGGAGGCGAAATCTAGGGAAAACAGTGAGGAGAAGAGGAGAGAAGGATGCCAGGAACTAGCTACACAGCCAGCCACAGAATAAAGGAAATAAAGGTATATAGAATAACAAAAGGTAAAAAGTCCAAGAGACAAAAACATAGTTAAAGAAAAATGGATAGGATTGGAGGTGGCTCAGTGGTTAAGAACCCACATGGCAGCTTACAACTGTCTGTAACTCCAAGGTCAGATACCCTTACACAGAGATACATTCAGGCAAAACACCAATGCACATAAACATATAAACAAATTATTAAAAGAGAGAGAGAGAAAAAAACAGTCTAATTTAAATTAGAAAAGCTGGTTAGAAACAAGCCAAGCTAAGGCCTGGCATTCATAAGAAAGAATAAGTCTCCATGAATTTATTTGGGAGCTGGGTAGTAGGCCCCCAAAGAGTCAAAAAACAAAACAAAACAAAAAAATAAAAACAAAACCCACATAAGAAATGTCCATCTGGCCAGGCATTGGTGGCACACGCTTGGGAGACAGAGGCAGGCAGATCTCTGTGAGTTTGAGGCCAGCCTGGTCTATAGAGCAAGTGGCAGGATAGGCTCCGAAGCCTATCCTGTGAGAGAAACCCTGTCTCGAAAACAAACAAACAAACAAACAAAGTCCATCTATTCTTGTGTTAAATAAAGGATTAAAATAGAGCACATGGGCCGGTGGTGGTGGTGGCGGCGGCACACCTTTAATCCCAGCACTTGGGAGGCAGTCGGATCTCTGTGAGTTCAAGGCCGGGCTGGTCTGACAGCCTCCAAAACAATACAGAGAAATCCTGTCTCGTAAAACCAAAAAAAAAAAAAAAAAGAGAGAGCAAATGGAAATGGCAATTCAAATACCAAGATCTGGACACGAATGTCACAGTCAAACAGTGAACACAAGCGCCCCTCAAACAGCTCAATAATTAAGGAAAGACCAGCATGGTGGCTTAGCAGGGAAGCACTTTTACTGCCCAGCCTATCAACCTAAGGTTGATCCTTAGGACCCATGTCCTCTGGCCTCCAAACCCAAGCAGCAGACACATCCACAAACGTACAGCATGCACACGCATTAGAAAATAAAACATTTTAAAGATCACCTTAGAAAAAAGAGAAAATACTCGGGGCTGGAGAGATGGTTCAGTGGTTTTCCAGAGGACTAGAGTTCAGCATCCATGCTGGATGGCTCACAGACATCTTCTAGTCTCCATGAGCACACATATAAGGCATAAACTCATACACATATAATAAAGTAAAAATAAATATTTTAGAAGGAAAATATAGTATATCAGCATCGTAGAATACTGTTCCACGCAAAAAGGAATGCTGTATCATAAATGGATCTTGAAAACATACCAAGACAGTTTTTCACATGAAAAATTTGTAACAGAAAACAAATTACTGAGGTAGGAGGATTACAAATCTGGGGCCAACATGGGTAAAAGCCTAACTCAATCAGTGAGAAAAAGGAAAGGAGAGAGGGAGGGAAGGAGAGAACACCACACACACTCACACTCTCTCTCTTTCTCTCTCTCTCTCACACACACACTCACAGAGAGAGAGAGAGGGAGAGAGAGAGAGAGAGAGAGAGAGAGAGAGAGAAAACAGTGACAGTTTCTGTAGACCTGAGGGGAAAGATGGAAACTGATGGCCATGGGGTGTGGGCTTCTCTCTACAGCAATGAAAATGTCCTAAAACTGTCTGCTGTGACAATATGCACTAGGCATACACTAACAGCACCCTCCAAATAAGCATATTTCATTGTTTATCTCAATTAAACTATCTATGTAATAAGGTCGCAATGGGGCCAGCTAGGTAACTCAGTGGGTAAAGACACTTGCTACCAAATCTGAAGACCTGACTTTGATTCCTGGATCCTCCAGGTGGAGGAAGAGAACCTATTCCTTCAAGCCATCCTCTGACCTCCACACCCACCTGCACAGATACATACACACAAATAAACAAACAGATGTAAGAAAAATCATACACAAGCTAGACCGTACTCAGTGCTGGAATGCTAGCTTAACATGCATGAGGCCTTCAGTTCTGTCTCCAGTCACAAAACAACGATAACAATATAAAGAAGACCAGACATATACTCATTATCTCTGTCTTTGTGCGTCAGGAATTGAGTGTGGCTTATCAAGGCAGCTCTCACAAGGCTGCAGACAAGGTTCCAAGGCAGCTGTAGTCACCTCAAAGCTGAACTGAAACAAGATGTGTTCCTAACACCTCAGAAGTGAGCCAAAAAAGTGAGCCACTCCACAGGGCTGCTCTGTAACATGGCTGCTTCCCCTCAGTCTTCCCCAAGAGACCATCAGACAGCACACTCCAGTCAGAAAGCACAATCTTTTCCTACTCTACCCTCCTGCGTATTTGGTAATTAAGATATGTGGGAAAGCCCAGCCCACACTCATGAGTGGAGGCCAGCAGGAGGACCTCACAGACCTCACAGTACCATTATTAGGAAGTGAGGAAGAGCCTCTCCTTGCCCAGACTCCAGTCAGGCCTTCTTAACCAGGCTTCCATGTCCACCACTGTACTAGATTTTAGCAAAAATCCTACTGAGTCAGTTTAGCCAGAATCCCAGCCTTGATATCTGATTACCTTCCATATCTGATCAGTCTTCACTCCCATCGTCCCCCAGGTGATGTCCTAGGCCTGCCATATCATGTCCTCTTCATTCTGCTTGGCTAGAGTCCCTCCCTGCAGTGTTTCCCCATTAGTAAGCCCCTCTCACTCTCCCCTACACCGCTATCTCCCAAGTCAGATGTGTTGGTGCAAAAGGATTGCTTACACCCAATCAGAAATTTTTGTTTTGTTTTGGAGACCGTGTCTCTCTGTGTAGCCCTGTCCTGGAACTCACTCTGTAGACCTGGCTGGGTCTGGCCTCAAACTTGGGAGATCTAGCCTGTCTCTGCCTCCCAAGTTCTGGGATTAAAGGCATGTACCACCACTGCCCAGCTCCAACCAGGAGTTTGAGACAAGCCTAGCAACATAGCAAAATCCCACCTAGAACGGTCCCACTTTGCCTTGTGGTCTTCACAGTGGAGTCCACCCCTCCCAAATGGTCCTCATGGTCCCACCAATGATCCTCACAAAGTCCGCCTTACCATTCCCGAACTAGTGTCAGGACTTTTTTTTAAACAGAAACTAAACTACATGAACTGTATCAAAATTTCTGAAATGTAAAGACAATAAATAAGAATAATTTAAGCCGGGTGTTAGTGGTCTACAAGAGCAAGTTCCAGGACAGCCTCCAAAGCCACAGAGAAACTTGTGTCAAAAAACAAAAAAAAAAAAACGAAACAACAACAAAAAAGAAATAAGAACAATTTAAAAAACAATTGTAGGTGCCTCGTTAGCACAGTAGGCAGCACGTCAGTCTCATAAAAACCAATTGTAACACAGGCATCTGCAATGTAAGCTAGAAGATAATGGAACACAGACAAAAGGTTAGAAGAAAACATCTACCAAGTGCAGAATTTTAGTTTAGAAGCAAAATAAACATCTAAATTGTCATCAGCAAATCCTACACTAAATGACATACTATAGTATTACTTTAGGCAAAAAGAAAACTGCCCTAAAATGCACAGAAGGAACAAAGAACAAGTAATACGTCAGGAGACTACATTGAGAAACCTTCAGGAAATGGGGCCAGTCAAAATTCCATCATGGGGCTACTCACCCCACAGATTTACAGGAAGTTAAAGGTTGCTAGTGGGGACAAGCTAGCAAGGTCCTGCCCTTCTCTGAGGCTCCAATAGCTCCTGGGTGATTGGAAAGCATTTTGTTGGTTTTTTTCTAGAATAAGACAATTTTATTTTCATGAACTCACAAAAACACAATACAGATGGGTTCAAGGTGACCAACACTTTCCAGTTCTCAAACTACAAGCCTGAGTGAATACACAGTTAGAACTCTTTTGTGGCTATTCCAAAGCAATGGATCTATTAGAAATAAGGTTTGTTACTCAGGGTCCACACTTGCACTATCAATTATGTAAGAGTTCATTTTAATTTCTTAAGTTTGAACCCCGCAGCAGCTCGTTGAAGCCCTCATAGAGTATGATGTCACTCTGGTTCTGGGAACCCTCTGGAAACTGTCCGATCTCAACATGTGCTGTGGTCTTTGTACTGCAACAGGGAGCATTTTCTGTAGTGGCACACAGCTCCTGGTAAATCAGCTCTCACCTGGGCTCACGTGAGCAACCCTAAACTGTTGAACCACAAAAATTATGCCCAACAAAATAAAGCACATGGAGGAGGGGGAGGGGAGCAACTGGTTGGAAAGAGGCATGGAGTAAACACCAGTAGAAAGGGGGATGAGGGCGAGTATGACCAAACTCATCATAGACATACGTGAAGTAGCGTGGCACCATTTCTGAACCTTCCAAAGGGACAAGGACTCATGGTGAGGACAACACCTGAAGACGTGACAAACAGAACTAACAAGGCTCTGCTCACTCAGTGGTCGGGGGCCTGGGAAGCAGCACTGCCCCAATTGTGAGGGAAAAGGACTTCCTGCCTAGAACTCCACTCAGTCTAAGGTAAACACCCAGGGCATACAGCGTTTCCTCCTATGTACCCTTCTCCAAGGGGACAATGGAGGACATGGCCTGCACCAGAGCAGGGGACAACACAGATGTGTTAGGCCTAAGACCTGACAGGTGACAGCAACAGGAAGGAGGTAGGGGTAGCCCAGCCAGCCAGAAGAAAACCCAGCCAAGCCGACCCACACCAGTGCTCAGCAGACGTGAAGATGGTCCTGAAGTCCACCGGGTAATCATTAAATCAGTTACTGAGAATGTAGCAGCAACAGGTAACACAGCCCACTGCGTAAGCCTATTTGCTCAGCACCATTTAGAAACATGTAAGTTATTCCTGGGCCATGAAAAAACTCTATTTCTGAAGACTGAGCACTGGCCATTTCCTGGGTCTGTAATAACACAAACGGTCCTGAGGATGTAGTGACCAGTCCAGTGGCAGGTCTCCTGAAAGCCACAGATCTGCTCTAGAGCTAAGTGGCACTACACCGCAATCATACTAGGGGCCAGCGTGGACCACAGGGTAAGTTCCAGGCTAGTCTGTGACACTAAAAAAGACTATCTTATCCAAGATACAGAGTAAGACTGTCTGGAAAGTACAAAAACAAACAAACAAACAAACCATCCAACTACTTCAGCCTGTGTGTGACAATAAGAGTGTGATGCCAGACACAAGACCCAAAAAAGGACTCAACCACACAGGAAGTTAAGACCTCTTGAAAACTGCAGATGCCCACTCAGATGTCCTAGACTCACTAGACTTCATGAGAGAACACACTCCTTCAGCTCTCTGTTCCGTTTTGTTTTCTGAGAAAAGTTCCCACACTGTACCTCTGGCTGGCCTGGAACCCTCTAGACAACCAAAGTCAACCTCTTGCCTCAGCCCTGGGGGAGTCACCATACTTGGCTTCAATTATTTTAATACATTTTATGATTAAAAATACCCACAGAGCCAGACGTTGGTGGCACACGCCTTTAATCCTAGCACTCGGAAGGCAGAGGCAGGCGGATCTCTGTGAGTTCGAGACCAGCCTGGTCTACAGAGCGAGTTCCAGGACGGACAGACTCCAAAAAAATACAGAGAAGCCCTGTCTCAAAAAACAAAAAACAAACAAAAAATCCCCACAGGACAGAGTCCAGCCTATCCTCTGACTACCCATTTCTGAACTTCAGAAAGCCATCAAGGCGGTAAAGGTGGATTCCCCCATTCACTCACATGACATCCAGCACAGAGTCATTCCGAATGACCTTATGAGAGACATCAGCGAGCAGGAAGAGACCTCCATCCGTCCTCCGGATGCTAGCTGCATAGCCAGGCCAGATCTGCAACCTGAAGAAAGAAGTGTTTCAAGAGCATCAGGGCCACAGAACTCCATGCCCCATTTGACACAACACTGACACTGCCTTTCCTGAAATAATGAAGAAGCCCTAGGGGAAAGCATAATCAAATCAGTATCAGTACAAATTTACTAAAAATTATAAACAAAAAGATTTAGTTGATTACACTGTAGTTACCATCCTAACACACTGGTGAAGTTTTTGTCCTAAGTATAGTGGGCATAATGAAGTGTCTTTCCAGAACATTCAAAACTGAAGGAGGAAGAACAAACAAACAAAAAACCCCACCAACCTGTGTTGCTGTAGCACCATGGCACTTGTAGGGTCGTAGAAGTTCCTACCCACAAGCTTCATATCCAAAAGTTTCATTACCCTGAAATAAATGTGAGGGCTGAGTTTCCTTTCTCCTTCTGGAGGGTTGGGGGGGGACGGCGCCTCATACTCTCTAGGCAAGCGTTCACCATGTAGCTCCATCCCAAGCCTAACAAAAAACGTTTTCAGCTATAGCTTCCTCTAGAAACCCAAAGGTGATTTTTGCACAATGTAGCCTATGTTTAGAATAATCTTGCTATAGAAAAGTAAAGTAGCAAGGCATCCATCTGGAGAATGTTCAAATGACTGAAGGCTCTCAGTACCCACCTTGCCAAACACTATTTCCCAGCCTAACTATATCACTGTCCCCCATCAACTACAGAGAATGCAAGTGAACTACCAAATTTGTGAACAGCCCACCAGGGGACTGTGTTTGTTCCCGCAGCTCGCTTTAGTTTCGGTTCACTAAATGAGAGGCAGTTTGGGATTAACATCTGTGCAAAACTGAGGGCCTCTCAAGAGAAGATAAATAATTGTAAGCTATGTATAACCTTTAAAGGCTAGAAAATATCTCCCAGCAAACATGTTTGTACTCTGAGAAGCCCCTTCACTGATAACACTATTAAGAAAGCAATACTGACATCTGTTTTGACTAAGCATGATTGTTCATGCCTGTAATCCCAGCACTAGGGAAATTGAGGCAGGAGAATCAGGATGGGCAATCCTCAGCCACATATCAAGTTTGAGGCTAGCCTGAGTTACAGGAAATCCTATCTCAAAACAAACATCTGGTCTGAAAATTCCGAAACTAATCCAAAGGAACCCATTTGCCTACTCAGCTACCCAGGCTCTTAGCTGCAGGGGCCCAAACCTGGCCTATCAAGTGAGAGATAATTTTTGAGTGAGTTGATGCTAAGGTCACCATTACGTGCTTCCAAGCCCACCCACAGACACAGACGCTGTGTGTGGCACTCTCCACACTTTCTGGGAGCCTTCCTTACCTTCGGAAAACAACGTTGTAGAAGGGAATGCACAAGTCCGAGCACGGCTCAAGGATCTTTGTCAGCTGAATCTTGATGTTGATCTCGGCATCGTCGGTTTTCCTCTGGCTCTTTAACTCAACCACCTTACAAATAGACATGCACAAGCAACAAGAAATGACACTTACGAAGCCCTAGCCCTAACTCACCAACTTCTAGAGTCCCAAATGTACCCTCTATTTCCCCCTGGCTTTGCAGTCTATGCTGGCAAAATCAGTGTGACAATAAACAAAAAACAAGCAATTAAGTAACTCAGAGATGAAATTTTAAATCTTTATTTTTTGATTGATTTTTATGCGTATGTACATGTGTATGCAGGTGTCCAAGGAAGCCGCAAGAGGGCACCGGATCCCTGGTATTAGAAGGATGACTGAGACCCACCCACAACCGGGCCAAGGAACAGAACCTTTGGGGCCTCTGCATGAGAACCAAGTGCTCTTCACTGCTGAGCTATCTCTCCGGGCCCTGAAGTTGAAACTTTTGCCACAGAGGCCAAAAGCTTCCTACCACTCTACCTATGTGAAAAGTTACTTCTTAAATATAAGTGGGGGGATTTCTGCTCTGTTCTGCAGAAGTCTCCCTTCTGTCTAAAGATGGGAAGGTACAAGTCAAACATCCAGGAAGACTGTACTTCACCACCACTCAAACCATCGGAGCATGAGTTCCACCCACACCACAGTCTCCACTGGGGCTCACTTGTTGAAGCTTAACAGGAAGATAGAGAATAGACCCATCAAAAGCAGTGACGCTTCCCGTGACAGCTTGGTGATCCTTCAACATGCCAAACCTCATGCTTTTGCACTCCACATTAGGGCTGCAAAACAACAAAGAGATTTTAGTTTAGATTACCTCAAAGGGCAATCTTACTATAGCTGTAGGGTAAGTCAATTATTCTTTTGTAACTGTACTCCACCTAGTGGTCACATTTATAATTACATGGCTGACTAAAGAGACAATGACTCAAAGATACCTGCTTGGTAGAGACTTTAGAAATTGTAAATAAATACCAGGATTGGAGGGTATGCCTGCAATTGAGCTATGCGAGAGACTGAGGAAGGAGGGTCATAAGTTTAAGACTTCTCTGGACAACAGAGAGACACCTGGATCGAAGGAAACTAAAACAAAAACCCACAATTCTAGGCAGCTAGTTTCACATGTCATGTATATTCTTCTAGATTACGAAGCAAAGATCAGAACCCTAAGGTCCATGTTGTAAGTACCTAAGGTTTCACAAGACCATATGATCGTGCATCCCTGCTGTCATAACACAAAGTAAGCCATAGCACAAACTGGCAAAATCCCAATAAAAGTTCACTGTAAAACAAGCCATGGGCCAGGCTGACCTTGGACTGTGTGGCTTGCCAGTCCCTGCTCAGTCTTCAGGGACACACATTTTTAGAGTGCTCTCTTTCTTCTCCACGTTTAAAGTCTTTTTCTAGATTTCTTCTTACTTCTGTGTATACGCATGTGTCTGTGTCTGCAAACGCCACAAGAGGGCAGCAGATTCCCTGGAGCTGGAGTTACAGGGGCTGAGTCGCCTGACACGGATGCTGCTAACTGGACTCAGTCCTCTACAACAGCAGCAAGAGTTTTTGTTGTAGTGGTGATGTTTTGTTTTGATTTGGTTTTTACCTCTGAACCATCTCTCTAACCCCTAAACTGTTTTTTTGTTGTTGTTGATGATGATACAGGGTCTATGTAGAACAGACTGGCCTTGAACTCAACAAGATTCATCTGCCTCTGCCTCTCAAGTGCTGGAATTAAAGACATGAACCACAATATCCCACCATAAGGTATTTTTTTAAATGAGATTTTAATCATTTTTCACTAATGGAAATTTCAACTTTTTATTAACTTATTGTTACAAACTGGCAGCTTAAAAAATTCCAACAGCTACCTTATACAATGATTGTTCCACTATATTACACTAAGACACAATCTTGTTCTACAACTATAAAGTGTGAATAAATTCAAGACTAAAAAATGGTCAAGTATGTTCAAATATAGGAAGACTTTTAAAAAATTCAACATGTCACCCCTAAAATTAAATACATTAACATTTCTCCTAAAAAAATTCTCATACACAGATTGAGTTTACCTTATGCCAAATACCTTAAACCCAAAGTGTCTTTGATTGTGGAATATTTACATATACATAATATCCCAGGGATGGGGATTCTCTCTGTCTGTCTCTGTCTCTGTCTCTGTCTCTCTCTCTCTCTCTCTCTCTCTCTCTATATATATATATATATATATATATATATATATATATATATATATAAAGGGTCTTATTATGTAGCCCTGCTGGCTTGGAATTCCCTGTGTAGACCAGGTTAGCCTTGACCTCAAGGAGATTAGCCTGCCTCTGCTCCCTGAGTGCTACTAGGATTAAAGTCATGCGCCACCACCGCTGATCCAGATTTATTTTATATGAGTATTTCATCTAACTGGTATGTTATGTATCACATAGGTGCCTGGAGACCATGGAGGTCAGAGGACAGCACCGAATCCCTTGGAACTGGTGTTACTGATATTTCAGTCATCATGCGGGTCAAGAACCAAACTTTGGCCTTCTGTAAGAGCAGCCAGTGCTCGTTACCATCGAACCATCTTTCCAGCCTCTTATATAATGCTTTTTAGAAAACTTTGTAGATGAAAATTTCTTGGTGTATAATTTTCTACGCATGGCATCATGTCCACATTCAAAAACCTTCAGATTCTGGAGGCTGTCAGGTTTGGGATTTTCCAAATTAGGACAATCAAGCTGATGGAGCAACTCTCTGACATGTCTCCTGTTCATACTCCATGAGGGCTACACATTAGTGCACTGTATCAGCGTTTCCCATATTATCAGTATCTTCCCAGTTACCTCAAATCACCCTCACACTGGGGCTTCAAAAGTCCCCAGGGCTAGGGAGGTGACTCAGTAAGGTGTTTGACACTTGCCCTAGTTTGCTTTTCTATAGCTGTGATAAAACAATATGACCAAAAGCACATTAAGGAAAGAGATGGTTTATTCCAGTTTATAACTCTCGGGTCACATTTCATCACTAAGGGAAATCAGGGCAGGAAGTGAAGCCGAGGCCATGGAGGAGTTTACTGGCTTGCTCTCCGTGCTTTCTTACATCACCCAGGACGCCACTACCCATAGTGGGCTGGGACCTCCCATGTCAGTCACTAATCAAGAAATGCCCTCCAGACGTGCCTATGGCAATCTAATAAGAGAATTTTCTCAGCTGTCTCTTCTTCCCAGGTAACTCTAGTTTGTGTCAAGTTTGACATCAAACTAACCAGGATAACACTATAGCATGAAGACCCAAGTTTGACTCTAGCACCCATGGTGGCCTACTTGTAGTTCCACTGACTGGGAGCAATAGACAGGTCCCAGTGAGAAGCCCCATCGTTATAAACAAAGCTGACCTCTGAGCCTCTGTGCATGCTCACACACAAACACCATTTAGATTATATAATCCCCAACCCTGCAAATCGATTCACAGCTTCTTCATGGCCCAGTCAATGCAAGAACCCCTCCAGCTGCATCACAACTTGCCAGTCCATTCACAAAGGGAGCCCCGCACTCACTCGTGGTCCACGACAGGCCCGCTTCCTCCACTTGCTTGTTTCTTCTGCCTCCCTCCCTTTCCATCAAGTGTGAGTTGCACTCTGGTTCCTTACCCATAGGAAATCTTCACTTTTTGTTTGGTTGGTTTTTTGAGACAGGGTTTCTCCATGTAGCAACCCCAGCTGCTCTGTAGACCAGGCTGATCCCAAACTCGCAGTGATTCTCCTGCCTTTTCTGGGATTAAAAACTTGTACCACCAAGCTCAGCTCCCTGGTAGGAAATCTTGCTGCCTTCTTTATCGTTCTTTCCAGCTCTTTCTTTTGTGTGTGTGTGTTTTGTTTTGTTTTGTTTTTTCAAGACAGGGTTTCTCTGTGTAGCCCTGGCTGTCTTGGAACTCACTCTGCAGACCAGGGTGGCCTAGAACTCACTGAGATCTGCCTGTCTCTGCCTCCCAAGTGATGGGATTAAAGGTGTGCATTTTTCCAGTTTTTGAAATGAATGGTAGGCTCATGGGCTATTCCTCATGGCTTGTGCTCTCCCTAGTTCCTTTAATCTTAGGCATTTTCTCTGTAACTTAAGAGTTTATAGAAGACCACCAAGTAACTTTTCTTGTGGCCAAAATCAACCCTGTCCTCCTTATCCAGATGGTCCTTTCTTTGGAGTTACAGTTCTTCTGGGTCCTTTCCCCCCAGCCATCACTTTCTTCTCTCTTTTCACTCCACTCTCTCCTCTTCTACCATATCATCATTTAGTAGCCATTCTTCAAAAACTCACATTCCTTAGTAGAGTCATTTTGCAAAACAGCATGGAGGCTCTTTGCAAAACTGAAAACAGGGATGAGGAGATGGCTTAATTGGAAAAGTTCTTACCAGGCAAGCACAAGGACCTGCATTCAACACCTGCCACCCAAACCCACGTAAAAATACAGAGTATGATGGCATCACATTATTTATGCACCATATGTGCATAGTACCTGTGGAGGCCAGAGAGAGTGTTATAGATGGTTGTAAGCCACCATGGAGATGTTGGGAATTGAACACAGGTCCTCTGGAAGAGCAGGCAGTGGGTTTAACCACTGAATAATCTCTCCAGCATGTCCTATAGTCACACAGACAAGAGGATCTCTGGGGTCTGCTAGCCAGTCTGACCTAACTGGCAAAGTTCAGTCCAATGAAATACCTTGTTTTATACTGATGACCATTTATGCTGGAAAGGATGTGGAGTAAGAGGAACACTCCTCCATTGCTGGTGGGAGTGCAAACTTGTACAGCAGCTTTGGAAATCAGTATGGCAGTTTCTCAGGAAATTGGGAATGGATCTGCCTCAAGACCCAGCTATACCACTCTTGGATATACACCGGAAGGGCGCTTCAGCCTACCATAAGGACACTTGCTCAACTGTGTTCATGGCAGCTTTATTCTTATTGCCAGAAACTGGAAACAACCTAGATATCCCTCAACAAAAGAATGGCTAAAGAAAATATGGTAGTCAGGTAGTTCTGGTACACACCTTTAATCCTTAGGAGGCAGAGGCAGGTAAATCTCTGAATTTGAGTTTAGCCTAGTCTACAGAGTAAGTTTCAGGACAGCCAGAGCTATACGAAGAAACCCTGTCTTGAAAAACAAAAAAACAAGCTAAAAAAAAAAAAACAAAAAAATTCTGTTTTTAGTTGGTGGTGGAGGGGCACACACCTTTAACCCAAGCACTCTGGAGGCAGAGGTTAGCCTGGTCTACAAAGTGAATTTCAAAACAGCCAGGACTGTTACACAGAAAAACCCTGCCTCAAAACCACAAACAAAACAAAAAGAAAATGTGGTACATCTACACAATGAATTATTACCCAGGTGTTAAAAAAGTGACATTATGAAATTTTCAGGCAAATGGATAGAAATAGAAAAAAATCATCCTCAGTGAGGTAGCTCAGACCCAGAAAGACAAATATGGTATGTACTGTTAAGTAAACGATAATCACGCTACAATCCACAGACCCAGAGAGGCTAAGCAACAAGGAGGGCTGAGGGCTGAGGTGGCCACACAAGGATCTCCCTGGGAAGGGGAAATCGTTGCAGGCAGATGGGGGTGGGTGAGGAGAATAGGAGAGATCAGTAGGGTGAGGATGGAGGGAGGGAGAGACTATGGGAAGAAAAACTGGGATTGGGGGGAAAACCTAGTGCAGTAGAAACTCCCTGGAATCTATGAAGGTGACCCTAGCAAGGGCTCCTAGGGATGGAGGATAAGGAGCCTGAACCAGCCGTCCTCTACAATCAGATGAGGACCCCAGTGGTGGGACTGAGACATCGACTCAGCCACAAAACCGTCAAACTATAATCTGTCCTGCCTGCAGGATGTGTTAAGGCAATGGTAATGCAGAACTTGTGGGAGTGGTCAAGCAATGACCGGTCTAATTTGAGGTCCACACCAGGAGAGGGAGACCATGACTGACATTGTCTGGATGACCAGGAACCTGAGGCTGGAGAGCCCAGAGACCTAGGGTAGAATCAAACACGATTGGAAAACAAAACAATGGAATGGCTCCTAATGATGTTCTGCTACATTCACAGCTGGGTGCCTCACCCAGTCATCATCAGAGAGGCTTCCTCTGGCAGCTGACAGCAGAGACCACAGTCTGGATAGAAAGCCCAGGTTGGAGACTCCATCAGGTCCCTTCCCTTGAAACTTGGGGAACTCCATGGAAGAGAGAGGAAGGACCGGGGAAGCCAGAGCAGTCCAGGAGGCAGCCTACAGAAACTGAAGTGCAGTCAGGGACTCCAATATGGGTCTGCACTAGGTCCTCTGCATGAATGTCACAGGTGTTGGCTTGGGATTTCTGTGGGACTCCTGACAATGGGAGTGGGGTGTCTGATGCTTCCCCTTGTTCCAGGGCCCCTTTCCTCCTACTGGGTTGCCTCTCCTAGCCTCGATGTGAGGTTTTGTGCCTGGTATTATTGTATCTTGTGCTGTGTTCAACTGATGTCCCTGGAAACCTGCTCTTTTCTGGGGGTGGGGGTGGGTTAGGAGGAGTACTGTATGAAAGAAGAATACATTTAAGAAGTGTATGAAGGCTTAAAAAAATAACAATCCAAGAGCCGGACATTGGTGGCGCACGCCTTTAATCCCAGCACTCGGGAGGCAGAGGCAGGCAGATCTCTGTGAGTTCGAGACCAGCCTGGTCTACAAAAGCTAGTTCCAGGAGAGCCTCCAAAGCCACAGAGAAACCCTATCTTGAAAAACCAAAAAAAAAAAAAAAAAAAAAAAACCAAAATAAATAAATAAATACAACTAGTAAGATTTTCCTGAATCCTATTAAGGAAAAAGCCGTCCCCCACTTCCAAAATAAAAAATGTTTTTATTATGTGTGTTTATACATGTATGTTTGTGTCTGGTATCCATGGAAACCAGGAAAGAGTGTCAAATCCCCTGGAACCAGAGTATAGATGATTGTGAACCACCATGTGGACTCTGGGAATTGAACCCCAGGCCCTCTGGAAGAGCAGCAAGTATCCTTAACTTTGGAGCCTTCTCTCCAGCCCCATTTTAATGTCTTTGTGTATTCAGTAAGGTTGCTTGCATGAGGTTATTTACTAGAATATAGGCTCTTACATTCTCTCCATCCCTTCTCCATATTGTTATATGAGGTTTGGTGGGAGGGATATAATTATTTCATTTAGAGCTGAGCACTTACTTCATTATCACTTAACTCTTAACACTCTAACCAGCTATGATCTCTATCAAATATATATACATACACACATATGAGATAAGGTTTCGTTCTGTAGCTCAAGCTAGCCAGAAACTCACTATGTAGCCAGACTGGCCTTGAATGAAAGACAATTCTGCTCTGGCCTCCAAGTGCTGGGATCACCATGATGTGCCCATACCTCGCTTCTATAGTTGTAAAAGCAAATTCTGTCATTTGTAGTATGGATGAGCTTATAAGACATTATCTTAAGTGATCCAGACAATTACTAGAAGATTTCACTTACAGAGATGGTTCAGTGGTTAAGAGCATGTACTACAGCCAGGTAGTGGTGGAGCACGTCTTTGATCCCAGCGCTTGGGAGGTAGAGGCAGGCAGATCTCTGTGAGCTCAAGGCCAGCCTTATCTACAGAATGAGTTCTAGGATAGGGCTACAAAGAGAAATCCTGTCTGAGAAAACATGTATTGCTTTTGCAGAGGACCTGTGTTCTATTCCTAGAACCTGCATCCAGTGGCCCACAGCTGCCTGGAACTCCAGCTGCTGGTGGATTTCATATCTCTGACTTCATGTACCTGCACACATGTGCACATATACCCGCACACAGACACATAACTATACATAATTTAAAACATTTAAGATCTCATTTACAGGTAGAAGCTAAAATAAAAAAATCAAACTCATCCAGAATAGGGTGATGGTGAGATGAGGCTGGGAGACAGGCATCAAGGTGCTCTGTGACATGGGAAAACAAACTTCAGTGCCAAGGGGACCTTAAACGTTCTCCCCACAAGTAGGTTACAGGTATGTCCGTTAGTGTCACAATGTGTATACACAGGGAAATTATGTTCTACTCCACAGTTACATTTTCTTCAAATGTATTCCAAAACATTCGTTTTTCATGATTCCAGTCAACAACCTCTAGAGAAAGGCTTTCCTATGATCATAAACTACTATGAACCTGCTGGGCAGTGGTGGCGCACGCCTTTAATCACAACACTTGGAGGCAGAGGCAGGTAGATCTCTGTGAGTTTCAGGCCAGCCTGGTGTACTGAGCGAGTTCCACTGAAGCTACAGAGAAACCCTTTCTCAAACAAACAAACAAGCAAACAAAAATACAAAAAACAAACAAACAAAACAACCCAGAACTACTTAAAAAGATGGAAAAAATCCTAAAATGTTGCTTTAAAATTAAAGTTCTTTTCTTTTATTTCAAACCGAGTTTGTTCATTTTATTTTTTTAAGATTTGTTTCTATTACTTTTAACTATCTGTATGTGCCTATGTGCAGGTGTGGTGTTAGCTCCACCTGGAGCTGGACTTACAGCTGGTTGTGAGCTGCCCAAAAAGGGTGCTGGGAACCAAACTCAGGTCCTCTGCAAGAGCAACATAACATATGCTCTTAACCACTGCGCCATCTCTCTAGTCCCACACCCTCCAGTTTAAGCCTGGAGTGTCACTGGAGAGACATGAAATGCCGATTATGGTAATGTGTGTATAGCAGGATCCAGGTTTTGTGGTAGGAGTTTGACAAAAGGAATAAAAATGACAAAAAAAAAAAAGATGAGCCAAGAGATCACAGAAGGGTGCTGGGTGTTGCTCAGAAGTAGAGCACTTGCTTAGCACGTGTGAGGCCCTGAGTTTACAGTCCACCACCTCTACTTTAATCCATTTCTAGCCTCACACCATGAGCCTGTGCCTATGACATCAAAACCTGAATTGGGCAAAGAGCTAAAACTCCTGCAAATGCTAACTTTGAACTTCCTCCCAGAAACTTGGGTGCAGGCTTAGTGCCTGTGGAGTAGTCACTAAGGAGCAGTTCAGAGCACTGAGTTACCTCCAGGGATCTAGGCCATCCCTGTCTTCTAGGAAGCGAACAAGGGAGAAAACAACTGTACACACCTGAAAGTCACATGATACTGATAAACTGCTTCATTATGACACTGGATTTTGATGAGGTTCAGTCCCAAAGACTGAGGTGTTCCTTTTGATCCTTGCTTGACCAAAACTTCTCTGGAAAAGAAGGAAAGAAAAAGAAAGAAAGGAGAAAAAAAGCACAAGCTAGGCATGATAATGTACAACTTAAGCAGAAGATCCCTTGAGCCCAGAAGTTCAAGGCCAGCTGGGACTACCTTAAAAATATGTACATGCATACATACATACGTATGTACACACACTCACACACACTCACACACACACACACACGCACACACACACACACACACACACACACACACACACACACAGGCACGCACGCACGCACGCCCCATATACCTCAATAACCAGCTGACCAGCCCCTATCTACTGGGAAAACACTTTTTCCCCATTTCACTTACAGATACACAAACAAGAAGTCAAGTTATACAAATGCAGCCACATCTAATTCCACAGCAAAGTCATCCAGGCTGCCCTACAAATAGTGCTACAATAGCCAAGGCCAGCTACCTAAGGACAAAGAATCTGTTCCACAGAGAAAGATGAGGGGCTGTTAATATTGCTCCTAGGTGACATCCTTATCTTCGATGTGGAAGGGAAGTGACAAGCCATGAGTCTGCTCACCGGAACAATCAACTGTTTATTTTCATAGTTAAGCCCACTACTTCTTCAGGAATCTCTTCGTCTGTGGACTCAGAACAGTATCTGTATTTCCACCCAGCAGCCAGAGTGCAGACTACAGAGGTCCCGCTTCCTCCACCATCCCTGCTTTAGAGCAGAAGGTGATCGTAACTCACTTTTCCTTTCGCTCCATGGTCAGGACTGGAAGGGGATCTGCAGCGTGCAGTGAGGTTGGAGACAGAGTGGGAGGCTGTGGCAGCCGTGGGGGATCCCGAGCAGTCAGGCCAAAGGCACTGGGAGGTTTGTCCACTCCTCTGCCTATACTGCTGGCTGCTCTTCCCAGTGGTAACAGCGATACATCAGAACTACCTCTTCCCAGCATTCTAAAATGAAAAAGAGGAAATCAGGGCTTTCCTGGTCTACACTACATATAGACCATCCCTCCAAGTGTACCAATCCTTTCATTTTTAAAAACTGGTTGTGAAACTTATTACTGAACATGATTTGATGGGAGTGCAGGGTCCACCACTTATTCAGGGGACCACTACTGGGGTCAATCTGACCTCAAAGTCATCAAGGATGAGCTGCTTCTCAACTATCATGTCTTCAAATTCATGTGTATGAACTTAATGAAGCAAGGATTTTTTTAAAGACATGGTTTCTATGTGTAGCTTTGTAGACCAGGCTGGCCTCAAACTCACAGATATCCACCTGCCTCTGCCTCCCAAGTGCTGGGATTAAAGGCGTGTACCACCACCACCAGCTAGCATGGATCTGAGATCTGTCTTCTGGTGGCCAGGGAACTTGAGCTTGGCTCTACACAGCGCCCCAATGACATGTTCCTTATTCTGCAGTTTGGTGTGGATGGACATGATGACCTGGCCAGTGTGAACCCTGGCCATGGCCCTCGAACTTCCCAAAGGCACCACACATCTGTCTGGAGCCTAGGCTGGGAACAGCACTGAGATCAGAGACATGACTAGCCTCCACAAAATTGTTCCCAAGGTCCTTTAGGCAATCATGTTGGCAACATGGTACATGCATTTCTATGGAAGTTGCTGTTTGCAACTATTGCCTAACCATTCTTTTTTTGCAGGGCCCAAAGGGGCCCAAGCACAGCCTTGGGATTCTCTTAAAATGATGACCCATTCCCTAGAGAGTCTTGGTATGCCCTCTCAGAGCTATCTTCCTAGGCAGAATCAAGGGGAATGTGACTCATTTTACCACCTGGGGACATTCTGAAGAGTCAAAAGAAGCTGTGAGGGGCGCTGGAGAGATGGCTCAGAGGTTAAGAGCACTGACTGCTCTTCCAGAGGTCTTGAGTTCAATTCCCAGCAACCACATGGTGGCTCACACAACCATCTACAATTCAATCTGGTGTATATGTAATAAATAAATAAATCTTTTAAAAAAAAAAAAGAAGCTGTGAGGTGCCTGATGGGAACTAGTCTCCTTTCCCAATGACTTCCTGGATGAACAGCCACCAACTATTCCTGGGAAACACCCACTGTGGACCATCATCTTGAAAATGCTCATCTGGATGGTAGCATGTCTATCCCAGAGCCTACACTGGAGGTTACAGGACCAAGTGACTTTACTTACCTACTCCAACCAACTGAAGCTTCTGCCAACTTGCTGTCCCCAGCTGCCAGCACCGAAGGATCAGGCAAAGAGGACCGGGGCTCTTCTCTGTCTTTGTGGATCATGTTAACAGACAAGCCTCGTCCTAGAACACCTCTACCTACAAGAGCCAAACCTCAGCTGTTACTGTGAGCTCAGCACATTGTACAGTTAGGTTTCTGAAAACAAACAATGTGGACAGAAAAACCAAGCCATACAGGTCTCCATAACACAAGAACCAAGCGGCCACACATGCCTCCACATTTCCAGTTGATTTCCACATACCTAAAGACGGCACTTCTCGTTTTGAAGGGGTCCGGAAGGCTGTGTCAAGACCCATGCCACGGAACATGGACACTAAACCCACAGACTCCTAGGGAAAGATAATTATTAAGGTTATCCTAAGAAATGGATTGGAGCCGGGTGTTGGTGGCGCATGCCTTTAATCCCAGCACTTGGGAGGCAGAGGCAGGAGGATCTCTGTGAGTTCGAGGCCAGCCTGGTCTACAAGAGCTAGTTCCAGGACAGCCTCTAAAGCCACAGAGAAACCCTGTCTCGAAAAAACCAAAAAAAAAAAAAAAAAAAAAAAAAAAAAGAAATGGATTGGAGCCCTAGAAACAATGGCTTTCTAAATAAAAAAATCTCCTTCAAATCCTATTAATGTTATAAGAATAAGAGATACCAGCCGGGCGTTGGTGGCACACGCCTTTAATCCCAGCACTCGGGAGGCAGAGGCAGGCGGATCTCTGTGAGTTCGAGACCAGCCTGGTCTACAGAGTGAGTTCCAGGACAGCCTCCAAAGCCACAGAGAAACCCTGTCTCGAAAAACAAAAAAACAAAAAAACAACAACAACAAAAAAAGAATAAGAGATACCAGCTGGTGAGGTGGCCCAGTGACTAAAGGTGACTATTGCAAATGTGAAAACATGGGTTTGATCCCTGGGACCCGCATGGTGGAAGGAGAGAACCACTCTCACAAGTTGTCCCCTGACCTCCATATACACGCTGCCATGTGTACCTGTACGCGCACACACACTGAATGCAAATAAAAAAAAACTTTTTAAAAATAGAATTCTTCATAAACTTTCTCAATACTTATTAACACTTCATAGTAGACTTTAAAGTACATGTAGCTGGGTTAAAAAACTATGAATTTAAGGGGCTGGAGAGAGGGCTATGCAGTTAGGAGCATTGGCTGCTCTTCTAGAAGATCCAGGTTCAATTTCCAGCACCCAATGTCCTCTTACGCCTCCTCTGGCACCAGGCATGCCTGTGGTGCAGAGACATACATGCAGATCAAACACCCACACACATGAAATAAAAATATGTGTAATTTTTAGAGTCTGTGAATTTAGCTAGGTTTGGCAGCACACACTTATAATCCTAGCACTCAGGAGGCAGAGGTAGGTGGATTTCTGTGAATTTCAGGCCAGCCTGGTCTACAACGAGTTCACAAAATAGCCAAGGCTACACATAGAGAAGCCTGTCTTTTTTTTTTTTTTTGGTTTTTCGAGACAGGGTTTCTCTGTGGCTTTGGAGGCTGTCCTGAAACTCACTTGGCAGTCCAGGCTGGTCTCGAACTCACAGAGATCCGCCTGCCTCTGCCTCCCGAGTGCTGGGATTAAAGGTGTGCGCCACCAACGCCCGGCGAGAAGCCTGTCTTAACAACAGCAACAAAAACAACAAAATGATGCACAGTATAATAAAATGCCACAAAGTAGTTATCTGTTCTTCAGGTTTTTAATTTTTATTTACTTATTTGAGACATGGTCACACTAAGCATCCCTTGATGATCTGGATTAAAAACATATGTCACTTAGTTACTTATTTTTTTAAATTTTATTTATTTTTATTTTATATGCATGACTGGCTTTGCCTGTATGTATGCAGTTGCACTATGTGTGTGTCTGGTGCCTGTGGAGGCCAGCAGTGGGCATCAGATCCCCATGGCTGGCACTGCAGACTGTTATGAACCAACATGTGGGGGAAAGAGCAGCAAATGCTGAGACATCTTGATGACCCTGTTTTTGTTTGGTTGGTTATTTTTGTTTTATTTTGTTTGTTTCTTTTTGTTTTTTTTCAAGACAGGGTTTCTTTGAAGCCTATCCTGGAACACACTCTGTAGACCACACTGACCTCGAACTCACAGAGATTGGCCTGCTCTGCCTTCTAAGTGCTATGATTAAAGGTGTGTGCCACCACCGACCAGCTTGGTTGATTTTATAATTAAACTTAATTTTTATTTTATTTATTTATTTTTTTTGGTTTTTCAAGACAGGGTTTCTCTGTGTTGTTTTGGAGCCTGTCCTGGAACTCACTCGGTAGACCAGGCTGGTCTCGAACTCACAGTGATCCGCCTGTCTCTGCCTCCCGAGTGCTGGGATTAAAGGCGTGCGCCACCAACGCCCGGCTAAACTTAATTTTAAAAATTAAAAATATTTTCTTTCTTTGTGCACTAGTGTGACTATGGGCATATGTGGGTACCATGTTTCAAAAGATATCAGAAGTTCAGGGTTTTGATTTTTGCTTTTGTTTTGTTTCACAGGCTGGTCTCAAACTTGCTATATAGTCAGAGATAAATCCTGAACTTCTGGCCCTCCTTTCTCTGCCTCCACAGTGCTGGGATCACAGACCTGCACATCCACACCTGGTTTACGTGGGTGCCGGGAATCAAACCCTTGGTGCCAGGCACACTAGGACAACACGAACTGAGCTGCATGCTTAGTCCGGTTTGGGTTTTCCTTCTCTTAAAGGAGATCCACTGAAACCTGCTGCTGCACTGCTGTGGTAGTCCTCAAAGCTTGCTGCACACCAGTCAGAGCTGCTAGTGGAGTAACAGCCACATCCAAACCAAAGCACTCCATTTGACTAAACACACAATACTGCTGTCAGCTTTCCTATAAAACCTGGTACCTAGCCGGGCGGTGGTGGCGCACGCCTTTAATCCCAGCACTCGGGAGGCAGAGGCAGGCGGATCTTTGTGCATTCGGGGCCAGGCTGGACCGATAGCCTCCGAAACAATACAGAGAAACCCTGTCTCGTAAAAACCAAAGAAAAAAAGAAAACCTGGTACCTAACCCTCCAACTCTTCTTGGGGTAATGCCAAATCCATTATCTATATGGTTCTTTACCCCAGACATATTAATTATAGAACAATTCTGTCCTTAAAGTCTCCATGTAACTGGGAGATTAAGCTTGTCCACACTACAGCAGCAGCCCTGAAGATCCTCTCGATCCTCAAAGAAGGTCTGGTAAGGGAGTTTTGAAAGGAACAAATTGAACAATTATTACCCCAGAAGTAAGAGTTGTGACTAATACAGAGCTAATCAGAGTATCACATACGAAAGGATGAAAATCTGAAGAAATGACAGGGTAGAGGACTGGACTAGAAACCAACCCAAGGCATCTATCTAGTGTTTATCTTCAGGCACTTTCTCTAGGACTTGAAGCGCGTGACCACTAGATGCAACCAACTACTTGTCAAAAACAAACAAAATACAAAAATAACAGACCTCGATTTTATAGAAAGCCCTCTAAACTGGTCTTACCTTTTGTACTGGCTGGACTTGTGGGCTGGGTTCCTCTGGCTTTCTAAACACAAGGCCTCTGCCTGCAGGTCCTGCCCTACCCCAGGCTGAGTCCACAGGTCTAGGAGTTTGTGGCCAACAGCCTGGCATCCGAACGCACTGAGACGGATGGACAGGGCTGGGCCCCCTGAACAATGGCCGGACAGGATCCATCGAGAGACTGTAGAATTCACTGTCGATTCTGTTCTGATTAGTTACCTGCCAGCATTTTCAAAGGATTAAAGATATACCATTTACTGTAAATAGAACCTTTTGGGATGAGAGTTGAGAGATTAATCTATGGGTGTAAAAAGTCATTAGGAGTCAGTTTAGGCCAGGTGGTGGCGGCCCACACCTTTAATCCCACTACTTGGAAGCCAGAGGCAGGCGGATCTCTGAGAGTTCGAGGCCAGCCTGGTATACACAGTGAGTTCCAGGACAGCCAGGGCTACAAAGCAGAAACTCTGCTTCAAAAAAAAAATTCTTTAGAGGCAGGGTCTTGCTATGTAGTCGTACCTTGAACTCTTGATAATACTCCTGTCTCAAGCTCCCAAGTGCTGGGATAACAGGCTTGTGCCACCCACACCTGTCTTATTTCTAAGAACAGGGCTTGCTGTGTAGCTCAGGCAGGCCTTGAACTTGCAATCTTCCTGTGTGTTAGCATTACAGGAATAGGCTCCCATGTCCCATTAAGGCTCCTATTTCAGCTCAGAACATCCTAAGCACCTCCCACTAACTAAGCACTCCCTGGAGTTCTCTACCTAAACAGCCTCTCTGGAAACCATCAACTAAACCCCTATTGTAGACGGGAACAATGTTTTATGTATGTGGATGATTTTGGTTGTAGTTAACACCGCCATACCACAAAATTATTGTCAACAAACACGTTATGTTTTTTGCTTTATTTTCTATCAGTCCATATCATCCTACATGCACCCCCAATCTATAATTGCATTCTACTCTACTCTCTTGGGTTTAGTTGCTTTTCTGAACCTTTATCCCATTTTTTTCAAGCATCAGGACTGAGGTCTCCAGGGAACAAAACCTTCCTGCTTTGAGCCTACACTACCTGCTGGCTCTCACAGGTTCCATTTAATGCCTTCCCTCCCCAGCTAACTAGGGGGGAGCCCCTGGGCCTATCTCCAATCTATCAAGCCTCTTCAAAATCATTTTACAGTTTACAGACTTCAAGACTCACTCTGTAAGGGTTTCTTTCACTGTCCTGACCTGTTCCTGGCCCTTCAAGAACCTTTTTTCTTTCTTCTTTTATTTCCCCTCTTGTCCTGGAGATCCAAGCCTAGGCCTTACGCACGTTGAACATGCATTAGACCATGGAGCTACACTCCAATCTTAGGAATGTCTTACTGAGCTTTTGAAAGCCTGTCTGCACTCTTGGCTACAGAGAAAGTAGTTGGCCACGCGACTCCTCAGTGCTGGTCCGGACGGAAGCAGCTCTGGGGCTTCCCAAATCGTCTGAATTGAAGTACTATCTCTTTTATTATAAAAGCTACTAAGGCTTTCTGTTCTCAGTGACTGCAACAGTTCTACCCCGATTGCTAAACCTGCTCCTCAGCGGCTCACACCTTTCTCCACCCCACCCTGGCCTTACCCAGAAGTCAGTGGTCTAACTGGTTCACCCGAAGCGATGCTGTAATGCAGACCTCGGGGCCCCTGTTTACCCTTCTATGACCACATTCACAGATTTGGACCCTCCTCCACAAGGCCCTTCCTTCAACGGGGTTTCCACATCCGCAAGGGTGGTAGACCAGGCCTATCTTCTTCTGCTTCTCCACGTGTGCCCTCTGGGCTGGGGCACTAGGCCTCAGGCCTAACCTGAGGCCAGGTCCTTCAAAGCGAATCCCACCCAGGGTCCGAAATAGCAAAATACCTTGTGACCAACTGGACTGCGGCCAGCCGAGCCTCGGCTAGATTTCTTTCTAGGTCTTGTGCCACTGAACCCCAAGCGAGTGCCCTTCCTCCTCGAGCCACTTATTTCCACTCCTGTTCCAGGCCCTGCGTTCCTCTCGCACACTCGGCCTGGAATAACGAATTCCAGTCCACCCTGCCCCCGCCCACACCGCCTCGTGCTTATGGGGGAGGGGCGTGGGGTAGGCAATAACCAAGAGGAGGGCCCTGGCTGAGAGCTTCCCGGTCACCACCAGGAGCTTGGGCAGAAGCCTATCAAGTCCACACCGGAGCGCCCCTGACCCTCCTGGCCGTCCCCATCTGACTCTCGTCCCCTCACCTGGCCTCGAGTCCCCAGGGCCCTGAAGCACCCAGCCTCGGGAGAACACGAGCCTTACCACCCCGCCCGCCACTTAACATGAGCCACGTGCCCCAAGTCCTGATTTCCGGGGCTCCTTGGTCCCGACGCTCAGCCCATTGGCCAGACAACATGCCGCTCATAAAGCTTCGCCGCCCCATTGGCTCGCTCTCTCAGGGAGCTTAGCTGTGTGGAAGTTGAGCGGCGCTAGAAGTTATGGGGGTCATTTTAAAGTGTGTGGGTGGCGTGGGTGGCTCTGAACCCCTTTCGATGGACTGCTCCGGTAAACAAGTTTAGCTAACATGTTCATGCTGACAGCGACCCGCACTGTCCTCCCAGCACAGGTTGATACAGGGCTGCTAACTCAGTGGTAGAGCATTTCCCCTGTCTAGAACTGAGGGGCGCACCAAAGCCACCACAGTTGGGGTGGGGGAGAATAAGAAGTTGTTCTCCAACACTGATAAAAGTCTCAGCTCCCTATCCTGTTTGGAACACTCACCAAAGCTTTCGTGAAAGATTCATTCACTGTGTATTGAAACAGTCTCTTAGGGAAAGGATTCGGGGTCTTTCAGATGAAGTGTGATAACACTAGTTCTTTGAACCTACCTGATTGTAACCTGACACAAGCAGCTTTCGTTACAAAAGTTGTAGATTGGGTTCCTTAGCATTTTGGTGTTGAACCAAGAGTAGACGACTTCGCCGGGCGTTGGTGGCACACGCCTTTAATCCCAGCACTCGGGAGGCAGAGGCAGGTGGATCTCTGTGAGTTTGAGGCCAGCCTGGTCTACAAGAGCTAGTTCCAGGACAGCCTCCAAAGCCACAGAGAAAACCTGTCTCGAAAAACCAAAAAAAAAAAAAGAGTAGACGACTTCAGTACAGTGATTCCAAGTAATCCCTACACCATGAGTGCTGTTTCACCAAAGGGAAAGTCTATACAATCTTAGTATTGATTGGAGATAAAGATGGGAAGCATTTGGGACCATTAGTATTTGTTAGGATTCTTTCCAAAGCTAATCAACATGTATTGTTATTTACATTCCCTGTTGGGGCACTAAAGTTGTCAATAAGCGTGTCATCTCCAGGGTAGCCATTTTTAAAAAGTGCACACATATACAGCACTTGTCTCCTGAATGCAAGGTCCTGGCTACAATCCTCAACGCCCCCAAAAAACAACTCTTATAAAGCACACACCATCTTATCAGGTGCATGCCCACAGAGAGAGTGGGGGTGTGTGAGGTAAGAATATATTTAATTTGGATGTGAGGGCGATCTGGCTGCGACATCTGTCACCCCATTGATCGCCAGGGTTGATTCGGCTGATCTGGCTGGCTAGGCGGGTGTCCCCTTCCTCCCTCACCGCTCCATGTGCGTCCCTCCCGAAGCTGCACGCTCGGTCGAAGAGGACGACCTTCCCCGAATAGAGGAGGACCGGTCTTCGGTCAAGGGTATACGAGTAGCTGCGCTCCCCTGCTAGAACCTCCAAACAAGCTCTCAAGAATATATTTAATTTACTGCAATCATTCTACAATGAAATACATATAAAGCATCACATTGTATCCCCATAAATATATGCGGTGACTGATTTGTCAAAACACACACACACTGTCTGAGATAAAGTATTTAGAGTTAAATTACAGGTGATTTTTTTAACTCAGAAAAGTCATAACCAGTTTCTAGAACCTAAGGATGAAAATGGGTCCATAAGTCCATACAAAAGAATAAACAACAACAAAATCCAAAATTCAAAAATGGGCAAGAGATTTGAAAAGTCCAGCATGGGTACATGTGGTGTCACATAACTCCATCCTTAGACATTCAGGCTGAGGAGGGGATCTCCAGTTCAAGGCCAGTATGGGTTACACAATAAGACCCCGTCTCTAAAACAAAATTAAAAGAAAGCCTATTTCAGACCAGCAAGCTGACTCATCGGGTAAACACACCTGCAGCCAAGTCTGATGACCCAAGTTCAAAACCAGACCCCAAAAGATGGAATCAGAACTGGAGAGATGACAGCTCAGTGGCTAAAAGTACTGGCTGCCCTTTCCAGAGGACACACCCTCTTCCAGCCCTTCTAGTCTTCTTGGAAATGGACACATGTAGCACACAGACATACATGCAGGCAAAGCACCCATACACATTACATGGGGGAGGGGCTAATGATGGAAGGTGAGAACAGACTCCTAAAAGTTATTCTCTGACCTTTACATGCCTTCCGTGACAGCTGCCCATCCATAGGCACACATAAGTGAAGGCAACACATTTTAAAAACCTTTTCACCAAGAAGAGGAGGAGGAGGAGGAAGAGGAAGAGGAGGGAGAGGAGGAGGAGGAAGGAGGAAGAGGAGGAGGAGGAGGAGGGAAAGAGAGGCACAGAGAGGGGAGGGGGAAGGAGGAAGAGGAGGAGGAGGAAGAGGAGGAGGAGGAGGAGGGAAAGAGAGGCACAGAGAGGGGAGGGGGAAGGAGGAAGAGGAGGAGGAGGAAGAGGAGGAAGGAGGAGGAGGAGGAGGATTGGTGAGATGCCTCAGTGGATAAATATGCTTACATCTAAGCCTAATGGATTCCAAGGACCCACATGGTGGAAGGAGAGAAGTGACTCACAAGCTGTCCTCCAGCCTCCACATGTGTGTTGAGGCATGAGTGCACTCCAAACACTAAATGTAATATAAATAATTAAAGAAAGAAGTTTGACTTCTAATGTGGCTAGTTGCAAGGCCCATGACAATACACTCTTAATTTCATAAAGCAAGCCTGGTGTCTCTTGGTTTCTCTTACACATATGCCTCTATTCACAGATGTACTTTACCTCCATTATCTGCCTCAGTGGACCTGCATAGAATGCCAGAACTGTAAACCAAAATAAACCACTTTCCTTCAGGCCAGGAACTCTTTTTACAGTAACACAGACCACCAAGATACTAGCTATATGGACCCTCCCAAAGGGGAAGTTGATATTATCTTAATCTATTTAACTCAATACCTGCAACTGGGCAGTCTGAGAGCTAAATAAATTTACTTCACACAGTTCTGGAGACTGAATGTCCAAAACTGAAGGGCAGTGTCTGGTGAGTCTGCTTCATTTTAGCACAGTGGAAGACATCACATGACAGCACACATGAGAGATCAGACGGGGAGAGCTGGGAAAAGCCAAAGTTTCATTTGTCTTTAAAAGGTTTGGCCTGGCGATGGTGGCGCACACCTTTGATCCCAGCAGTCCTAAGGAGAGGCAGGTAGATCTCTGTGAGTTGGAGGCCAGTCTGGTCTACAAAGTGGATTCCAGGACAGCTAGCACTGTTGGACAGAGAAATCCTGTCTCAAAAAAGAAACCAACCAACCAAAATCTAAAAGAGTTTGTCAGCTGATAGGGATTTTTGGAACTGGATCATAAAAGGTCTGACTTCATTAACAGTAGGTAAGTGGAGGTGCTGGAGGCTTGGGAGGTAGAGCCTAGTTGGAGGAAGTTGACCATTGGAGGCATGTCTTGGGGCTGGAAAGAAGACTCTGCAGTTAAGAACATTTGTTGTTCTTGCAGAGGACTCAAGTTTGATTCCCAGCACCCCACATATGTCATGACTGTCTGTAACTCCAGGTCCAGGGGATCTGTCATCCTCTTCTGGATTCCTGAAGTACCAGACATGCACATGGTGCACTTAAATACATGCAGACAAAACACTCACTCACAGAAAGTAAATATTTTAAAGAAAGAAAAAGTATATCTTCTCTAGTCCCTTCCTGTCTCTGCGTCTCTGCTGCAGGAGTGGGCACCTCTGCTCCATGACATCTTTTCACTGTGACTTTCTCCAGAACTACATCCAGAAACAACGGAGCCAGCCAACCTGAACTGTTTCTACTGAGTACTTGTCATCGCAACGAAAGCTAACATGGAAAAGCTCAAGGGCCTCAGGCTGTGCCGCATCTCCCTTACCAAGAGAGTTTATGTATTTCTTTATTGGATCTCATGTGTTCTAAACTGGCCTTGTGTTGTGTGACCTTTTACTCTTTTGTGTGTTTTTTTTAAGATTTATTATTCTGTATTCTGTCTGCATATATGTCCACAGGCCAGAAGAGGGTACCAGATCCCATTACAGATGGTTGTGAGCCACCATGTGGTTGCTGGGAATTGAACTCAGAATCTCTGGAAGAGCAGTCAGTACTCTTAACCTCTGAGCCATCTCCCCGGCCCCGACGCTTTACTTTTGTGTTTTTGCTCTTTCTGAGGGGCCCACCACCCAGCTCCCAAACAAATCACATAGAGGCTTATTCTTTGTTATGAATGCCTGGCCTTAGCTTGTTTCTAGCCAGTTTTTTTTTACCTTTTCCCTCTGAGCTTTTATCTTTCTTCTGTGTGCCCTTCCTTTCCTTCTTAGCCCATGTCTGGCTGTGTAGTTGGGTGGCTAGCCCCTGAAGTCCTCCTCCTTCCTGTCTGTTGCTCCACCTTACCACTTCCTGTCAGTTGCTGACCCAGCCTCCTGACCACAGGTGAATTTTATATAATCAAACACATCTTTGCATCATGAAACAAATGTTTCAGAGCATAAACAAAAGTAATACACCTTAAAATAATATTCTACAACTGACTTGAGCTTGAGGTTAACCTTGAACTTCTGATCCTCCTACCTCCACCTCCAGAGTGCAGGGATTATGGACATGTACTAGCATAATATTTATGAAGTGTTAGGAATGCAAGTCAAGTGTCTTATCAACTGAGCTACACCCACAGCCCGCCTCCCCTTTTTATTTTGGATTTTTACAGAGCTGCATTGTATCCAAAACTGGCCTGGAATTCACTATATAGCACAGGCA